CAGCTAATTAGGGTTTGACACAAAGAAGTCTTAAGGGATTTCAGAATATATAGACAAGAAAGATGACAGAGTGGTCGAGTAGTTTAAGCTTTAAAGAGCAGAGAATTATATTAACATTTAAGTTTATGTTGAACTTGCAAGCTTCAAGTACTCGGGAGTTGGACTTGGCCAACGTTTAATTGGTCAAAAGCTGGTAAGCATGAAGCATGCCATCGTAAATGTAGCGAATTCAGGCATTCAGCACAGGAAGCTGCAGCAACAATAGAAAATGGAGATTAAATTTTGTCACCTCTTTATGAGAATAAAAAAACATTATTAATGTTATAACCCTTATTAATTCATGATTCTATTAATGCAGCGATTTGCACCAACGAGGAGTACGTAGGATTCAGAACGAATCTACGTACATAGGAGTTTGTATAAAACCCAAATATTTGATACTTGATCAATAGATGGACGATAAACAAAAATGAAAACAAGTAATCGCACAAGGAAAACGATTTTTAAAGTGATTCAGATCATGCAAGTGGTCCAATTGAACCAATTTAACTTTTCAAAAATTTCAAAAAAATATTAATATTTTATAGATTTTACAATTTTAATCTCAATTATTAATTAATATTTTTTAAACTTTTCTCTCTTCTTCATTTCCTCTTCTCTTCTCTCATATTATATTTTTACTAATAATTATTTTATAGAATTTTAACAATGTTATAAAAAACTTATCTGCCACATTTTAAAAATGTTATAGACTACAAATCTACAACATTTTAAAAATGTTACAAAAAAGTAAACTATAACAATTTAAGAATGTTACGAAAAACTAATTTATAACATTTACGAAGTGTTAGCTAAAATCATTTGTAACTACAAACAAGTGCTATAATATACTCAACAATAAAATTTAAATAATTATTAATAACATGCAAAAAGTGTTACCCAAACCTCATTTTTTTAAGTAACACGGGCTATAACAGCATGGTAAAAAATGCTATTGTTTATCTACGGTAGCACTTTTCGCATGTTACCGTAGAACAATTTTGTTGTAGCAGCTGGATACTTATATTCTTGATATGTGCTCTAATAATGATTTTTGACATTAAATGGAATTGGTGCTCTTGCTGAAAAGTTGGTTCAAACAAAGAAGAACATGGTACATCACTTAGTTTATTTACTTGTGAAATTAACATTGATATTACATGTTGCAACTGCAAGTGTTGAAAGAGCATTTTCTACGATGAAAATTGTGAAGAATCGACTACATAATTGAATGGGAGATCAATTGTTAAATGATTATCTTATTGCATATATTGAGAGAGATATTTATTGGAATTGTCAATTAAACAATTATGCAACGTTTTAAAATATGAAAAATTGTCAAGGACAATTGTACAATTAATAATTTGGTATATGTAACTTTTAAAAGTACAATTTTTTTTTTTTTTTTGCTTATTACTTCATTATATATTTTATTATAAATTTATCAATTTTGATGTTTTGAACCCAATGACTCATAATCCTGGCTACGTCTCTGGTTCGGATGCTTAATGCCAAGGGCGGATCTAGAGTACATTGCCCACCCTCCAATTTTTTTTTTAAATATTTATATGTAATTTTTTTTTCTTTTTATATCAATTTCAACTAAAAACATTGAATATGAATATTATATGCTATTACATTTTATTTTGGTCCACCCTAACAAGAATTTCTGGATCCACTACTGCCTAATGCAAACCCTACATCCACTATTTTTTATTACTTTTTTTTTTTTTTACTGCACACAAGTATGACTTACAAAGCGAATAATTTTGGATCGCTAATTTAAGTAAAAAGTACGTTTATATACTATTACAGTGACAAACTTAAAATTAAAATTAACCTAAAAAGACTAACACATGGTGTGAATCCTTGCCTCAGGGATTTACCACAAATCAGATTCATTCAAAAGGTATGAATTATATAAATTCAGAATAAACCATTAATATTTTACGTTGATTATTTTTTGAACTCATATTAGATGTGTTAGTTTGTATAAATAATCGAAAGTAACATCAAATAATGCGTATATGTATTATGTTTTTTCCCAGGTTCCGGCTTGATTTTTTTGACCTTATTAATGAGCAAACCAACTTACAAATGCTAGGGCCTGCAGAATAAATGCATGCCTTGAAACCAAGAGGTTTTTTAAATTAAGGAAATGAAATTAGTTCTTGATTGTTACACTGATTGAACTAAACGCATGCAGATTGCAGACCCAGTTCCAGAGAGACTTGCTCAACGGCCCCGCCGCTATTTTCTAGATGAGTAATGTATGGATTAAGGTTAGATAATGAGAAAATCGTCAATAAGACGACGGATTCGGGTATATTAATGTTAGACTTTTACACAATAGTTTAAGTTTTTGAGTCAATAAGACGATGGATTCGGGTATATTAATGTTAGACTTTTACACAGTAGTTTAAGTTTTTCAGTCAAAAGATGACTTATCATAATATAATAAAAGTCTAATATTTGAATCTCTTATCGCGTCTTATGTTTGGATCTCTTACTTATTATTTTCAATTAATAAAATCAATTATCACAACTTTTTAGGTTAATCTCTCACCAAAATCTATTTTTGACCTCAAAACTCAATCCATATATATATAAGGAAACATAATATTGTAATAATACAGCTCATATGTTGAGTTATATCTGTTGATAAAGATAAATGTTGGCTCTAACTCTTCACCCGTTGATCAAGCATTTAGTTCAAGTTGATCTAACTAGTTGATCTAACTATAATACCATGATAGAATTTGAGATAGATCTGACTATTTACCAATAACGTCTTGTTGAATGAGAGGATTATCTCCTCTTATAAACCAATAGGCATAAACATGTCTAGTCGGTGTAGGAGATGACTTATCATAATATAATAAAAGTCTAATATTTGAATCTCTTATCGTGTCTCATGTTTGAATCTCTTACTTATTATTTCAATTAATAAAATCAATTATCACAATTTTTTAAGTTAATCTCTCAGCAAAATCTATTGTTGACCTCAAAACTGAATCCATATTGTTGAAATTACGAGCAAATGAGACTCAAGGACATAATTTAGTGAAGATTATAATTGAAACAACATTACTTATTTATTAAAATATATATATATAAAATAAGGAAACATAATATTATAATAATATAGCTCATATGTTGAGTTATATCTGTTGATGGAGATAAATGTTAGCTCTAACTCCTAACCCGTTGATCAAACATTTAGTTCAAGTTGGTCTAACTATAATACCATAATAGAATTTGAGATAAGTCTGACTATTCACCAAAAACGTTTTGTTGAATGAGAGAATTACCCCTCTTATAAACCAATAGGCATAAACATGTCTAGTCGGTGTAAGACTCCAACAAATATTCCGTGTAAGAAGCTTATTAGAAATAAATAGTAGAATTTGTTTGAGTGGTTTAGATAACTTTTTTCATTGCTAATTGCTGAGCATATCAATAGTGTACATCACTTGACACTTGACATATCGGAAAGATCAATGAGAAGGATACCCAGAATCTCTCTTTAGGGCCACTTAAGAAAGAAAGTGCAAAATGAAACGCAGGAAATCAAATTTAATACACAATCCATTGTTAGATGAATCCCAGCTCTGTCACCTTTTGCTCTTGGTTTTCTTTTAAAGACATGTAGAAATTGAATTGAATATATATATATATATATATTCAATTCAATTTCTACATGTCTTTAAAGGAAAACCAAGAGCAAAAGTTAACAGAGCTGGGATTCATCTAACAATATATATATATATTCATCTCTTTCAAGTACAAATTCACTAGTTTGTAGATACAATCCGATGTTTCGACATGAGAGTACATGTACCCAAATAATCAGGTCAAAAAATAATGGTGGAGAGGATTCATGGCACATGATAGTTAGCTTGCTGCGGTTAAAATGGCCGCACCCTTGCCGTTCGACGTTGAGAACTAAAATTTCTTGGCTAGCTTCAAAATCTGACATTCAAATATCTCAGGCGTGCATGAAAGCTTTATTGGACCATCAATCTTAAAATCAAGCTCATCGTCCTCCGACTGCTTCATGAGTTCTTGAAATGGTGGAAACGACACATACTTTACAGGAACTTCATATCTCTTAGCCTCTTCGCCCACGTAAATACCCACATACCCTCGTCGAATCTTTACAGTTTTATCATTCTCAGCCACCTGCACTAGTGGCCTCCGGTAACAGCTCTTCTTAGAAATAGAATGGCGGGAGACGAGCAAACACAGTTTCATTAACAAAACTTTTACTGATTCCATCATTGATTCCTAAGTAATCTCTGAAACTCACTTAGAATTTTAATAAAATAGATAATCTTTGAGAGTCAGGGCTATATATAGATAAATCCTGAAGCTGAAGCCGAAGCTTCAGATTCAAAATCAGGTGGGGTAGTGTGACAAAGTCGTAGCTTTATTGTCAACCTTGTGTGCATCAGTCCATGAAGTCAAACTTTGATTTTTGGCACGGCGTATAAATAGAATTGAGAGGGCCCTTCGTTTTAAGGTCCTTAACTTAAAAACCCACGTTCATAATCGATAAGCTATATTGCAAAACGGCCAGGCCAGGCCTGGTCCAGCTTGGCTTGCTTGCTAGCCCAGTGGTCCAAACTCGACCTTTTGAATTCACATTGCATGTCCGAGAAATACATTATCACTAGGTAAGCATCAATTTGTGTTGAATGCATGCCTTGAAACCAAGAGGTTTTTTAAATTAAGGAAATGAAATTAGTTCTTGATTGTTACACTGATTGAACTAAACGCATGCAGATGTGCAGACCCAAAAAAAAAAAGAATCATATAACCAATATGTTGAAGAAAGGATTTCCTTTGCTTTACAGTGACTTAAACAAAAGAAAACTAGGAAAAGAATATAGAATATCAATTGATCAACCTCGCTTAGTTTTGACCAAAATCTTTTCTATTAGACTGTTAATTTTGGAAGTCTATAAGCTCCTGGCAAGCTGAAGTGTTTGATCGAATATCTCAGGTGTGCATGCGAGCTTTATTGGACCAAAGATCTTTGTATCAAGCTCATCATGATCATGTGAATGCCGGATCATAAGTTCTTGGAATGTCGAAAACGATAGATACTTTACTGGAACTCCATATCTCGTTGATTCCTCGCCCACATAAATGGGCAAATAACCCTTTGGAACTTGAACCATTTTGGTCTTCTCAGACACCATTGGCTTCTTAGACTGGCTTGCAGCTGATATCTTTCTGATAAGTGAACCGATCTTTTTCAGTGAAAAACCTTTAGCTGAAGACATAATAGATAAATTAGAAACTGAAGAGGAAGTCACAAGCATACAGAAGCTCGTCAGCTAATTAGGGTTTGACACAAAGAAGTCGTAAGGGATTTCAGAATATATAGACAAGAAAGGTGACAGAGTGGTCGAGTAGTTTAAGCTTTAAAGAGCGGAGAATTATATCAAGTTTATGTTGAACTTGCAAGCTTCAAGTACTCGGGAGTTGGACTTGGCCAACGTTTAATTGGTCAAAACCTGGTAAGCATGAAGCATGCCATCGTAAATGTTAGCGAACTCAGCACAGGAAGCTGCAGCAACAATGGAAAATGGAGATTAAATTTTGTCACCTCTTTATGAGAATAAAAAAACATTATTAATGTCATAATCGTTATTAATTCATGATTCTATTAATGCAACGATTTGCACCAACGAGAAGTACGTAAGATTCAAAAAGAATCTACGTACATAAGAGTTTGTATAAAACCCAAATATTTGATACTTGATCAATAGATGGATAATAAACACAAATAAAAACAAGTAATCGCACAAGGAAAATGATTTTTAAAAGGGTTCGGATCATACAAGTGGTTCAATTGAACTCATTTAACTTTTTAAAAATTTCAAAAAAGTATTAATGTTTTATAGATTTTACAATTTTAACCTCAATTATTAATTAATATTTTTTAAACTTTTCTCTCTCTTTCATTTCCTCTTATTTTCTCTCATATTATATTTTTACTAATAATTATTTTATAGAATTTTAATAATGTTACGAAAAACTTATCTACAACATTTTAAAAATGTTATAGATTACAAACAAATCTACAATATTTTAAGAATGTTACAAAAAAGTAAGCTATAACAGTTTAAAAATTTTATGAAAAACGAATTTATAGCATTTACGAAGTGTTAGCTAAAATCATTTGTAACTACAAACAAGCGCTATAATATACTCAACAATAAATTTAAATAATTATTAATAACATGCAAAAAGTGTTACCGAAGCCTCATTTTTTTAGTAACACGGGCTATAACAACAGGGACAAAAATGCTACTGTTTATCTACGGTTGCACTTTCCGCATGTTACCATAGAAAAATTTCGTTGTAGTAGCTGGATACTTATATTCTTGATATGTGCTCTAATAATGATTTTTGACATTAAATGGAATTGGTGCTCTTTCTGAAAAGTTGGTTCAAACAAAGAAGAACGTGGTATATTACTTGGTTTATTTACTTGTGAAATTAGCATTGATATTACATGTTGCAACTGCAAGTGTTGAAAGAGCACTTTCTATAATGAAGATTGTGAAAAATCGATTACATAATCGAATGGGAGATCAATTGTTAAATGATTATCTTATTGCATATATTGAGAGAGAGATATTTGCTGGAATTATCAATGAAACAATTATGCAACGTTTTCAGAATATAAAAAATCGTCGAGGACAATTGTAGAATTAATAATTTGGTATATATAACTTTTAAAAGTACATTTTTTATGTTTATTACTTCAGTATATGTTTTATTATAGATTTATCAACTTTGATGTTTTGAACCCATTGACTCATAATCCTAGCTACGTGTCTATGGTTCGGATGCTTAATGTAAACCCTACATCCACAGTTTTTTTATTACTTCTTTTTTTTTACTGCACACAAGTATGACTTACAAAGCGAATAATTTCGGATCCCTAATTTAAGTCAAAATTACGCTTATATACTATTACAGTGACAAACTTAAAATTAAAGTTAACCTAAAGAGACTAACACATGGTGTGAATCCTTGCCTCAGGGATTTACCACAAATCAGATTCATTCAAAAGGTATGAATTATATAAATTCAGAATAAACCATTAATATTTTACGTGGATTATTTTTTGAACTCATATTAGATGTGTTAGTTTGCATAAATAATCGAAAGTAACATCAAATAATGCGTATATGTATTATGTTTTTGTCCAGGTTCTTGCTTGATTATTTTGACCTTATTAATGAGCAAACCAACTTACAAATGTTAGGGCCTGCAGAATAAATGCATGCCTTGAAACCAAGAGGTTTTTTAAATTAAGGAAATGAAATTAGTTCTTAATTATTACACTGATTGAATTAAATGCATGCAGATTGCAGACCCAGTTCCAGAGAGACTTGCTCAACGGCCGCCGCTATTTTCTAGATGCGTAATGTATGGATTAAGGTTAGGTAATGAGAAAATCGTCAATAAGACAACGGATTCAGGTTAGTGGCGGATCCAGAAATTTCACTCGATGGGGGTAAAAATTGAACAAAAAAATTTATGGGGGTAAAATGTCAAAGTTTTATAGGGGGTAAAATATAACTAAATATAAATATTTATATAATCCAAAGTTTTTTAAAGTTTGAGTGGGGGCCATAGTCCCCACGCGTCATTAAGTAAATCCGCCACTGATTCAGGTATATAGTCTGACTATTAGTGTTAGACTTTTACATAATAGTTTAAGTTTTTGACTTACCATAATATAATAAAAGTCTAATATTTGAATCTCTTATCGCGTCTCATGTTTGAATCTCTTACTTATTATTTTCAATTAATAAAATCAATTATCACAATTTTCTAGGTTAATCTGTCAGCAAAATCTATTGTTGACCTCAAAACTGAATCTATTTTGTTGAAATTACGAGCAAATGAGATTAAAGGACATAATTTAGTGAAGATTATAATTGAGTCAACATTACTTATATATATATATATATATATATATAATAAGGAAATATAATATTATAATAATACAGTTGATATGTTGGATCATATCTGTTGATGGAGATAGATGTTGGCTCTAACTCCTCACCCGTTGATCAAGTATTTAGTTCAAGTAGGTCTAACTCTAATACCATGATAGAATTTGAGATAGGTCTGACTATTCACCAATAACGTCTTGTTGAATGGGAGGATTACCCCCTCTTATAAACCAATAGGTATAAACATGTCTAATCGGTATAGGACTCTAACAAATATTCCGTATAAGAAGCCTATTAGAAATAAATATTAGAATTTGTTTGAGTGGTTTAGATAACTGTTATGCCTCAAAAGTCAAGCCTATGTCAGCACAATTAATGTCTCTTTGTATCAGCTGTCAAGCCCATAACTCCAAAGATATTCTCACCAACTTTATCTCATTTCAAAGAGATGAATGGACAAGAGCCTTCCATGTGTCAAGGCAGCTTGCAAAACACTCATTGCATTGAGTGTTTTGTGAATAAATGGATTTTTCTCTTCCCGAAGAAGAGAGGCTAGAGGCTGGGCTGAGATTGAACTTCAATTATTTCTCTCTGTAAAAACACTGTATTTCTTCATCTTTGTATGCCTTACGGGCAAATTCATAGAAATAGGGAGAGATCAAATAAAATAACAGTGGATGTAGGAGTCGCTTGTTGCATCCGAACCACTATAAAAACCCCTCTTGTCAATCTTTTATTTATTTTTTCTGCAAAATATATAATCTCAGCTCCATATTCAAATCTCATGGATCCATCACGTGTGTCTCCTGAGTCAGCTCAGCGTTTCCCACGTGCGAGTCGTTGGCGTCCAAAATCAAGCGTCAACAATAACTTTTTTCATTGCTAATTGCTGAGCATATCAATAGTGTACATCACTTGACACTTAACATATCGGAAAGATCAATGAGAAGGATACCCAGAATCTCTCTTTAGGGCCACTTAAGAAAGAAAGCGCAAAATGAAACGCAGGAAATCAAATTTAGTGCACAATCCATTGTTAGATGAATCCCAGTTCTGTTAACTTTTGCTCTTGGTTTTCTTTTAAAGACATGTAGAAATTGAATTGAATATATATATATATATATATTCAATTCAATTTCTACATGTCTTTAAAGGAAAACCAAGAGCAAAAGTTGACAGAGCTGGGACTCATCTAACAATATATATATATTCAATTCAATTTCTACATGTCTTTAAAGGAAAACCAAGAGCAAAAGTTAACAGAGCTGGGATTCATCTAACAATATATATATATATTCATCTCTTTCAAGTACAAATTCACTAGTTTGTAGATACAATCCGATGTTTCGACATGAGAGTACATGTACCCAAATAATCAGGTCAAAAAATAATGGTGGAGAGGATTCATGGCACATGATAGTTAGCTTGCTGCGGCTAAAATGGCCGCACCCTTGCCGTTCGACGTTGAGAACTAAAATTTCTTGGCTAGCTTCAAAATCTGACATTCAAATATCTCAGGCGTGCATGAAAGCTTTATTGGACCATCAATCTTAAAATCAAGCTCATCGTCCTCCGACTGCTTCATGAGTTCTTGAAATGGTGGAAACGACACATACTTTACAGGAACTTCATATCTCTTAGCCTCTTCGCCCACGTAAATACCCACATACCCTCGTCGAATCTTTACAGTTTTATCATTCTCAGCCACCTGCACTAGTGGCCTCCGGTAACAGCTCTTCTTAGAAATAGAATGGCGGGAGACGAGCAAACACAGTTTCATTAACAAAACTTTTACTGATTCCATCATTGATTCCTAAGTAATCTCTGAAACTCACTTAGAATTTTAATAAAATATATATTCTTTGAGAGTCAGGGCTATATATAGATAAATCCTGAAGCTGAAGCCGAAGCTTCAGATTCAAAATCAGGTGGGGTAGTGTGACAAAGTCGTAGCTTTATTGTCAACCTCGCGTGCATCAGTCCATGAAGTCAAACTTTGATTTTTGGCACGGCGTATAAATAGAATTGAGAGGGCCCTTCGTTTTAAGGTCAACTTAAAAACAACGGTACAAGTTCAAATTTGAAGACCCACGTTCATAATCGATAAGCTATATCGCAAAACGGCCAGGCCTGGTCCAGCTTGGCTTGCTTGCTAGCCCAGTGGTCCAAACTCGACCTTTTGAATTCACATCGCATGGCCTAGAAATACATTATCACTAGGTAAGCATCAATTTGTGTTGACAGTCAGGGGTTACGTGTCACCTCATTTCATTAGTAAGCATCAATTTGTATTGACAGTCAAGCTACGTGTCATCTCATATGAGAGTTACTTTATGTGCAAGACCACCCCAAGTCGACGTGTTGCTCTTTATAAGTATTACTTCATTAATAAGTTTACCAAGACAGTAGCAGTATATAAAGAGATCTCTCATCTTAATAAGAAAATCTTTTTGAATGCTTTATTTTCTAGCTATAGAAACAGTCTCATTTATACTTATAATTGTGTATGCACAAAAATACACAGAAAAAAAAGGCAATAAAATAATAGTAGACATGGAATTTGCATCTTACATCCGAACTACTTTAAAAATTTTCTGTTCTTCGTATTTATTTATCATTTTAGCATTAGTCCAGCACTAAATAATCGGTTTGTTACAAACATTTACGTAAATCTCCTCACGAGAATTACGTACTTCTCGTTGGTGTGAAAAATCGCATCAATAATATTATAGATGATAATTAATACATAGATAGATGATAAAATGGTATAATCATCATAATTAATTGATTGTGATAATTTAATTTTGACAAGCATACATTAATATTAGCATTTTTGGAGAGATTAAGAGATTTTATTTCCATTTCTAGGGTGTGTATCAAAAGTTTTAGAGTATGCAATAATGCAAAGGCCATTTTCTTATGGGGATATCTTCGTAAAGCAAAAGAATTAAAAAGTTAAAGCCTCTTCTATATTATTTCTTAATTGTTGTAGATTAAATAGGAGATAAAATAGTTAAGATCAAGAAACATTCGAATATGACTTGAAGAAAAATATTGCCATTTAAATTTTGATATATGGTTTTCAGTTCCAAGAAGCATTTAAATTGTTTCATGAAATTGCCCTTGGGTGATAGAGTGAGACGATAAGGATTTTTGGGTATATTATTTAAGAGTTTCTAAGTTTGGTTCTCCTTGATTGCTAATATGATTAATCAAAGTATGTATAAACTGGTCCGAACACTCTTAATCGCCAAAAAGAGAGAAAAAGTTTCATGAAAGATGTTACCTTATGCTAGCAACTTCAAAATCAAGCCAACTGGAATAAAGCAGAATATGAATAAACATCTATACTGAACAAGACAAGAGCTAATGGGATTTTGATGATAAAGAGAATGACACGTGTACGAATTAATTAATTTTATGAGTTAAAAGATAAAAGAAAGGGAGAACAACATTTTCCCACCCAAGGTTTGGCAAAACAACACGTTCCCACCCAATAAGTTTCAAAATGACACTTTCCCACTCTTTGTTAGATTTTGTTAGTGTTTTCTATTAATATTTGATTAAAAAGATAAAAATACCCTTAACTAGTGTATTTTTTAATTAATTTATTATAAATTAAAATTTAGCTAAACCAAAGTCTTTATTCAATTATTTATTAGTTCAAGTGTAAAAATATTTTTTTTCCTTTGTTTATTTAACTAATTAGGAATATTGATTTTTTATGTTAATTAGTAAAAATGAAAAAAATTATAAATTTAATAGATTATTGAATAATAATGATGAGATATTAATGATATTATAAATAAAAAAATATTAAAATCATTTAACTTTAAACAATTGCATAGCATTAATCCTAACTTTTAAGGTAGAAGCTAACTATTTTTTCTTTTTTGATTTTTTTACCAAATAAACAATTTATAAAGTCAAATATTTAAGTGTATTTTCATATTTTCAATAAAATATTAACGAAAAACATAATAGAACCTAAAGAAGGGTGAGAAAGTGTTATTTTGAAACTTGAAAGGTGGGAAAGGTTGTTTCGCCAGTTTCGCCAAACCTTGGGTGGGAAAATGTCGTTCTCCCTAAAAGAAACTATAGAACTGTGAATATTGTAAAATTACAGAGAAAAATACTGTATCAAGAAACAATAAAACCATACAAACCCGACTTTAGTTTAGAGTAATATAACTAACTGAAACCCTATTTATAAATTAAAGAATGAAAAAAAGTGAAAGAAATTAATTCTAAAAGTTCTTGGCAAGTTTCAGTAACTCATCGAATGTCTCAGTTGTGCATGTAAGATTTATAGGACCATCAATCTGAGTGTCAAAATCATCACCTACTGACTGCTTCACGAGCTCTAGAAATGGCGGAAAAGAGAGATATTTAACTGGAACTTCGTATCTTTTAGCCTCCTCGCCAACGTAAATAGCCACGTAACCTCGTCGAACCTTAACTGATTGATGATGATGATGATGATGATCTTTCTCATCGCTCATTACTAGCCGCCGGTAATCTTTCGATTTCTTTGAAAGGCTTCCACCGCCAAGAATCTTCTTGATGATCGAACTGAATTTCATACTGAGAATTTCTTTTTCGGAATTTGCTTGGAGAGAAGATGATCAACAGTTTAAGCCTTTTGCTTAATAAAACAGGAAAGAATAAATAGAAAATTTTATGACAAACATATATAGAATCGAGTGCAATTAACGAGAAGAATCTAAAGAATAATCAAATAAAAATTTTAAGTTAATATTTTCCATCCTGATTTGGGATTCGTTTGGTATAATTAGAGTATCAGATATGTAATATGTAAATGTAGTAATTAATTTTCCTAATTAATCTCTGAATCCTGCTATATTTAGTTTACCTTCAAACAATCTTATTTTATTTAGCAAAATTTCCCCAGGTTATTAAGAGTTTATTTAGTTTCCCTTATGTTGGTAGGTTTATATTATTATATCTATATTTATAACTAGAAATTTGGTCTAAACAATAACAAAATAATACATAGTAGCTACTAGCTAAATAGAATTACTCTTGTTTGCAGTCTTGGACTATTGGGTCAAACTTTGCCCAGGACAAAACCCAATCCACACTTCAGGCCCATGCATATTGACAACCAAAGGTCCAGCTATGGTTTTAAATCAAGTTAATTAGTTTTAATAATCATAATTAATTATTCATCCAATTAATTTTAATTTAAACAAAATTAATTAATAATGGTTTTTCTTTTGCAGACAAGCTAAAGCAGATTGATACATTAATCAAAGATGGGGTTTAACTAATCATGTCAATAATAAAAAAATAAAAAAATAATAACATCAATAATGCAACAAAATAAATAAATAATTAATACCCAAATTAAGTTTAATTTAATAAGCAAAGATGTGTAAGACAAAAAATGTTTTTGTTTTTATATATATATTTTTGTTTTAGTGTTTTTGGCATTAAACAGGAAAGGATAACTGTTTTTGCTACCCAATTCTTGACAATAACAGGTGTTGCTGTAACAATACAAGGCAGCATTTAGGGTTGACTTTGAAGAAAGTGACACATGGCATGATCTTAGTGGATAAGTTGGAGGACACAAAAACATCATAAGTGATGGCCCACCCACTTTGATTAGAACGTGGGAAGACATTGGAGGATCATTTGGTCCCACTATCAAGATTCATTCATCGTATTCTACAAATTAACAGTTTTGTCGTTTATGACAAAGGGAGGAGTACTAAATTAGCTTAATCTCGATTAATCGTTAATTATACTTAATTAAGACGAGTTTCAAATTTCTTTTCAAAAGAAAATTAATACAAAAAACCTCTTAAAATGACTTGTCTTCTTAAATTTATTTTTTCTTTTGTCACACTAGAGGTTTTACTTACATGTACCTCAACTAATCTCTCAAAACTCTAAAATTGTCAGTCGGATAAGAGTTAATACAAAAATCTCTTAAAATGACATGTCTTTTTCAATGTTTTTTTTTTTTCTTTTATCATCGAGGATGTTTAAGCTAACATATATGCACCTCAACTAATCTCACGGGGCCTTGGGACTGTGAGTCGAATAAGAGTCTCAATGACAACTCTTATTAGTGTCTGGAAAGACTCGAACTCAGGAGCTCATAGAACCTCTTTTTTGCTCTTTTACCCACCGACCATCCAGTGATGGTTGTCTTCTTCAATGTTTAAGTTTAAATTACGTCTTAAAATAAAGATATAAGAATAATTAAGTAATTAAGAGGAAGATAAGTAAGGTTAAGGAATAAAAATAAGGTTAAGCACGTGGAGACCATTTGGAAAGGGTATGTCTTTTATTCCTTCTAGAATTGATAAAGGGTTTTGCAATTAGTTTTTATTATCTTAAGGGAGTTGTTAATTACTTGGCAGGAGAAAAAACATTATCCAAATAGAAAATTATTAACTTTGTAATTATGCTTTTAATTTGGTTCAGTTAAGCATGATAATAATATATAAGCTTAATGATGTGTATATTAATTAAACTAAGTTCCCATGACCCTCACAATAAGGAAGAGAAAGAAGCAGCCAATGATGGGAGGAAATAGTGCTGTGTGCTTGCTATTCATTAACAAATAATTATATATAAAATAAAAACCTTAATGTCATCATTTCATGTTTGTCTCTGAAAGCTGAAGTTCATGGACCAAAGTTGAAGCAAGAGACAGAGATTTAAAAAAAACTCTTTGAAAGAGAAAGTGTGTTGCAGAGCGGCATGCAAAATATACTGTTATAAAAACGCAGTACAAATTATGGCCATAAAAATCTCGGTCTAGTTAGCTTTCAAGAAACTAAAAAATTCAAATGCCGAAAACTGAACAAGTTGGAGGTCCTGTTTGTGAAGAGAAATTGAGAGCATATGCTGAAACTTTGGTTGGTCCAATTTGGCATCTTTCGTACAGTTAAGGGTGGGAGGGGCTGGTCCCGATTGAATGAATAAGAAAACGCAGAGAGATTCATCAATGTTTTTGAAAGAGAGATAGAGATAGCACGCATGCATACCTAAAGTACGGCCATTCAGGTTCTTTTGTTTTGTTAATTAAGGTTTAAGTAATTAATTATAGGAAATGGCATGGACAAATAATATTTACTGTGAGTTCAATGGAGAAAGTTATCTGGGTTCAAGGGACCAATTAAACAGGAAAAGCTTCCCGTTCAGGAAAAGCAAAACTTTACCTACTCCACTTAGTTTAATTTGGCTTTCACGTTGCTTTGTACTTCATAATATTAGTGTTTACTGCTAATAATTTCCCAGCAAATAATTTCTAGGTTGAGCTAGGTTAGAGTTCATAATCATGAACAGATTCTTATTGGCTACTAAGTGAAAGTATATCTATGTCACAAAGTAGGTTCTTGTTCTTATAATTAAAAAGCTATATGGTGCATGCACTAAAAGAAGTGAATAATTTGAACTAGTTCATTGTCTTTATTAAGATTTAATTACTTAAACTATAGTTTAGGTGACTGTGGGGAGAAAAGGAGACATGGGCATCATCATTCATCATTTTGTTCACAAACAAACCTCAAATAATTGAAGTTAAGAGAGCCAATGAGATATATTAGCAATACGAAAGTCTTTACTTTTTATTAGTACCCATAACTGCGAGCAAAAACATTATAATGCTGGCTCTTGGAGTTGGGGTATAGATCCTAAAGCTACAAATCCTAGGTGTAAAGAATTAAAGTCTGTGATTTGGAACTCGAATATTTTTAATTGTGAAAAGATTAAGTTCAATGAAAAGGCAAGCCAGTCGAATGATTCTATATAGTTTTATTTTACTCAAAAGTCTGAAAAGTTTGATCATAAAGAGTGCTCCACCCACCATTTTATTTGTTCTTGAATAAAGAAAATCAAGTCTCGGATAGAAATCTGTGAAAGTATTAATATTCTTTTTGCTAGTTATGGGTTAGCTTAGTCAATTGGATCCCATGAAAAAAGCAAAACCCGTACGTAGCAACAGCTAAGATCCTTTTATAGAGCAGCCTGTTTCATGAAGGAAAGAATTAATTCTAATTCGACCTATTGTCTAATGCAGAAGCCAACTGGGAAAGTTAAATGACTGTTGAACAACAAATTAAGAGGCTCAAACTACTCATTCTTCATCTTCATCTTCATCTTCTCTAAACTTTCAGATCAGATGTGAACTCATTTTTCTTTTGGATCCTTTCAGTTCCTTTTCCTACTTCTTATGATTTTAATTTTATTTTTGAGAGACACCAAATATCATGTGGGGACATAGACCATAACCACTCACTGTCACTTTGGTATTTCTTTTTTGCTCACAAGTACTCATTGTTCTAAAGTAGGTATACATCACCAGTGGAATGCATGATTTGACTGTAAGTTAAATAATAATTCATTAAAGATTTCATATAGTTTGTGTGTTTGTTGAATTTTATAACTTATGGTAGACAAAAGCCTTCTTCACACTTCAATTTTGTACTGCTAACTGCTAAGTTTACCACTCTACGCCTAGAGAACTATTTAATTCCACTTGCATATTAGTGTCTTGTCACTTCTCAAATTGATAATTTAGGTGTGCCAATTAGAATATATATATATATAGGGGTTGAATTAAATTAATTCGTACAAAGTTTGGTAAAGAAGATAATTGTTTGAGCTCTTGGCTGGAGGAATGTCCCCTTTATTGAAAATGCAATAATGTAGGTACCTTCAATTAATATTTTTAAATTTAATATATTCAATAGAATGAAACAACCAAAGGGATGTAATAAGACAGGGCTGAAGCTTAAAGAAACCGAATTAAGTTATAGCTTTCAATTTTAATTAGGGAGCTAGGTAGCTAGAGTCATGTTCAGTAGTTAAAATCATCCCCACTCTGCAACAAATTACAAAATACAAAAGGAAACAAGTCAAATCCAGGTGAGAAGTCAACTGGAATCAAAGCTACATCTGTGTCTCTGGAAACAAGACACTCTTGTTTGTATAAGAGATTGTAACCCAAAACGCCAGAACGTGGATCAAATGTAATTGGTTTGAAGATATTTGATTCCTCAGGTAGAGCAGTGGCATGAAAATGCAGCCAAGTGACAGTCTTAAAGGAAACCAAATCCGGTGGCCTGTGCTCGTATAATAAGAGCAAGTGTTCAGCCTAATACCTATGCCTTAATCCTATAAATAATAAGTTAATGTAATATTTTTAAACCTTCGTTTAACTTTCGACCAACTTTATAAACAAAAAAGTGTTTAGGTAACCCCTTAAACTTGCTGTCTTTGCAGGTCCACACACTAGTGAAATGCTGCTAATATCAATTCAAAAACCCCACTTGAACAACCAACTTACCACTTATTAGAAAGTGTTCAATCAAAAAATATAATGGAAAACTACATAGGGAAAACCAAGGCATCCACAATTTGTGGCGTCTAAGACAGTGGCCAAATTAATTATAAACTATATATTTCAGTGTAGAATTTTCCTGTATACACAGTAATCACTTTGATTTGTCCACTAATTTATAATTTATTTGAGTTAAGGACTTTTTCCCACCCAAATAATGGTTTAATGACATTTTTCCACCTACAAACTTTTAAAATACTATTTTTCTACCTAAATTTATATTCCAACGACTAAAAGAGCAAACTCGGTCCAGACTGTTGAGACTTTTGAAGAAGGGAGGTCGATGATTCTTTTGAAGATGGAAGGTTGGATTGTGATGGTTGGGATTGATCGAACCTTGACATAGGAGGGGCGGTTACGCAAACCCTAATCGCTCAATTGTCAGTGATTGGCAAGGTCGGCAAGAGTAAAGTTTGAGAGGTTTTGGTAAGTGATAATCATGGAAGAGAATAGTGGTGGTATGGGGTTGCAATGATACCAAAATAAAAAACATAATATAAATTTGGATAATAAAATGGTATTTTAAAAGTTTGTGCGTAAAAAAAAAATCATTAAGCCATTATTTGGATGGAAAAAAATCGTTCACTCAATTTATTTATAGGTTATTAACCTATATAAGGCAATAATAATTCTTAAAGGAGACAGTGATCATCGTTGGATTTGAAATCTTAAATTTGGTAAAACAATAATTTACATTCTCACCCAACAACAATTACTGGCCCGGGGCCAGGGAAAAAAAATATACTGGTAGAGAAATAGCAATCAACTTACTTAAAAAGTGTATATATATTAGTTGAAGGCCTTGGGATATGTAAGTTCAAGCTTTTTTGTTCCCATTGTTTTCCATGTCCCAATGCACTTATTTTCTCTGCTCTTTTCATCTTCTCTTCATAACAAAATTTTCAATGCCATGCCTTAGGAATTAAGTCCAGCAACTTCACACTAGCGACTTGTTTTATTGGCTTTGTAATTCATAAGGTTTGATCACTTATTAATAAAGATATCAGTGTTTGTATATAATTATATACATGTTCTTCTTTTATTTCTGATATCTTTTTTGTGTTTTTTTCTTGACATCCCAGTTGTTTAATTTGTCTCAATCCTTCTCTGGAAGTGGAACCTGCTTGGTTTTGCTGTTTCTGGGTTGTTTGGTTGGCAAGTTTGAAGTATAAAAATGTGTCCGGGAAGTGGAACGTCTGAATCTCCAGGGAGTATAAGCAGTGATCAACTATTAATTACAACGGAAGAAGATGACAATGAAGAAGGAAAGCCAGCAAAACCTGAAAGAAAATTCATGCAGGGGTTCTTTAGACATCTTCCGATGAATGGTCTCCGTGGACTGCAGTTGCACGAGGCAAGACTCTCTTTCTTGCTTTCTAGCTTGTTTGTTAATTTAGTTCTCTTGACGATCAAAGAATAAAAAAGGAAGTTTAAAGCTTTACAGTTCATTCTTCACATGTCCAAAATGAGTTTATGCATAAAATGGTATGTGCTTATGAAGGAGGAAAGTAATAATTTTCTTTCCAAATAAGCGCTTTTGACCTAATTTCGTCATTGCCTTTCATTAAAGCATGTACTTATGGCAATGACGTGCTTCATTATTTATGAAATAAAAGGTTTAACTTACTGTTGAAGCAAAATAGAAATCAAAAAAGATTTGAACAAGTTTTCAGAGCAATAGCTTTCTTTTTTCCCTTTTTGTTGCTGCTTATTTTGTAAATGAACGCTGATATTTATGTACTGGGTTGAGACCATTTATAGTGGAGGAAGAAAAGAGAGTTGTGGCCTGGCTGTGGCTAGCAAAAAGATTGTCATTGTAGCTAATATTCTGAGGTTTTACTTATGGTGGAGATTCTTTTTTTTTTTTTTTTTTTTTTTTGTGGAATGGTGGTAGAGATTCTTTGTGTCCTTATAATAAAAACCATGTACGTGCCACTTTGAAGAATTGACCAAGATGTTTGCCCAAACAAAGAATAGCCGGGTATTCAGGAGGGTAGTGGATTCCACTTTAGGCTAAACACTTAACACTGTACAGAGTGAGTGAGATTTCTTTAAGTGAAACTTTATATATAAAATATTTTTATTTTGACTTTCAAGAGTTTAAGATGATGACCAGTGGAATGCACTAAAAATGAAGTGAAAGTGTGCAGAATGATCAATCTTTGGAGATATTCTTTTAGGCATTTTGTTTTTATTCAATGTCATACACCCAGTGGATCTTACTGTTTTTTGTTTTTACTTTCATTTGGCTACTAAAAGTGACCATTAGGCATATTAGCTTATAAATCATTCATAGCCCCACTATATCTCTTGTATATTATTTCTGTGAGAGATGCTTCTTCTAATTAGCTTTCAGCTGCCCTGCAAAGAGTTTAACTTTAAAAGCATAAATGCATGGAATCTATTTAAGATAGTTTATTTTGTCCCTCGGTTACTTTTAGAAAAGTTTATACTTTTATTTTAGGATCCTGTTTGCATACCTGAAAAGTGGTTCAAAATGCTCTTTTGAACTTTGGTACACTTAAAAATTTTAAAAAACCCAAAAGCTCCAATCTTTATTTTATTTTTTCACTTCACTTACTGTACTCTAAAAGTTTAACGAATATCAATTATATGCAGGTCGGAGCAGAGGTTCTATCTCTGGGAAAGATTGCAGGCCCCATAGTAATGACAACATTGCTTCTAAATTCAAGATCTTCAATTTCTATGCTCTTTTTGGGTCATCTTGGGAGAACAGAGTTAGCTGGGGGCTCGCTGGCACTTGGGTGTGCAAATATCACAGGAGTTTCAGTCATTAAAGGCCTGGCTATTGGAATGGATCCAATTTGTGGGCAAGCCTATGGAGCCAAGAGATTTTCAGTTCTGAGTCAAATCTACCAAAAAGCTTTGTGTCTCCTCTTGCTTGTATCCGTTTTCATCTCTCTCTTTTGGCTAAACACGGAGCCCATTTTTCTACGTTTGGGACAACATCCTGATATCTCAAAAGTTGCTAATAGTTACATGCTCTTTTCTATTCCTGAATTGCTAGCTCAAGCCACTCTCCACCCAATGAGGGCCTTTTTAAGAACCCAAGGCCGCACTAGCCCACTTACAATTTCAGCTATTTTTGCTGTCGTCCTTCACCTTCCAATCAACTACTTATTTGCTATTCATTTGAAGTTAGGAGTAAAAGGTGTTGCATTGGCTCTTGCTTTTAATACATTAAATATGAATTTGGGCTTGCTGATTTATGTCATTGTGTCAAAAGAAGCACTCAAACCTTGGCATGGGTTCACCTTTTATTCCTTCTTTCATGGGTGGCGACCATTGCTAAGTCTTTCTGTGCCCAGTTGCATTTCTGTGTGCTTGGAGTGGTGGTGGTATGAAATTATGCTGTTTCTTTGTGGATTACTCGGCAATCCAGAGATTAGCATTTCAGCCATGGGTATTCTTATTCAAACAACAGGGATTCTCTATGTCTTCCCATTTGCAATGAACTGCAGCTTGGCAACAAGAGTTGGCCACGCATTGGGCGCTGGGCAGCCTTCTCGGGCCCAATGGACTGCAATAATCGGCATAACTATGGCATTCGGTTTTGGACTTTCGGCCTTCGTTTTCATGACTGCCATGAAATCTATATGGGGGAAATTGTACACAAGTGAGCCACAAGTTCTTCATTTGATCTCGGCTACACTTCCCATTTTGGGGTTATGCGAAATCGGCAACTCTCCGCAAACATCAGCCTGTGGAGTCTTGACAGGAACCGCACGTCCCAAAGATGGCGCACGCATAAATTTATGTTCATTTTACTTGGTGGGATTACCAGTTGCGGTTCTCACAACATTCAAATTCAAAGTTGGGTTCAAGGGTCTTTGGTTTGGGCTGCTGGCTGCGCAATTGTCGTGTCTCTGCATGATGATCTACACGTTGATGCAAACGGACTGGAGGCACCATGCGAAGAGGGCTGCGGAGCTCACCATGGCTGCAGAAGATAGGAATGATGATTTAGAGAGTAATTTAATTAGCAATGAACAATGAGTCAGTCTCCAGGATTAATTTGATTTGACCTCCCAAACACTCAGCATTTTGACAAGCTCCTCCAGGGATAGGCTGAAACATATAAATAAGTGCAGAACTTCCTCTTCTGACAAGAAATTCACCATTGATTTGATGTTCTTGACAATTATAAAGAAAAAAAATAATAATCTTACTAAATGATTTATATTTATTAATTCATGAATCATGATCTACAAAGCAGAGCCATCAATTCTTTCAGCATGTGCCTGGCTTCTTTGTTGCACTAAAAAAACAAAAAAAAATCATACAAGCACATAACTAAAGCTCCAGTTTATTAGTTTATTTTTAATGTTCATCCAAGCCCATGTTCAAAGCTCCAGTTTAGGTACTCTTTTAAGTGGTTTGAATTGGGCTTTCTTGTTTACCCATTTTAGGCATACCAAATGTCAAGTTCTTTTTTCTTTGTGCCCATCAACTTGGGTAATATAATTTTTTTTTTTGTAACGGGAGATGTTTAGGCCAGCTTGCAAGTATCTCAACTAGTTCCCTGAGATCCTAAAGTTAATGGACAGGCAATGGCTACTTTTATTAGTAGTCTTGAGGATTCAAACTCAGGATCTTTTGAGTAATATACCAAAGAGTTCCAAACGAACCGTCAAACTCCCATAGAAGTAGTTAATATAATTTCACTATACACGAATATGTTAACTTGTTGGTGTGAAGGCAACTGTCCATGGAAGACCTACAAATTGGGATACTGTGATGAAATATGAATATCATGATTGTGGTTAATCACTCAGATTACGTCAATCATACAAAATCTCTCGCTTTTTTAATTGAATGTAATTATATTATTTTGTTTCCTTATTGTATACCTAATTTTTTATATAAATAAGAAATATATTTGCAATTCAAAATAATTTAATACAATATAATTAAATTTATTTAAAAATATCTCTTGGACATACTACGACCTTTCAGTTGTCTCTTTTGTCCCCTCAAATATATATTTCAGACATACTTTTACTTTTTTCAAATGATTTCTCTTGTCCTCTCAATTCAGACATGAAATCATAGCATCCAGATCAGAGGCAGATCCAACCCATTTTTTGGTAGGCCAATTTTTTTTTTTTTAAATATTAATATATATAATTTTTAGATTTTGGCCCATCCTAACAAAATTTTCTGATCCGTTACTGATCCAGATTGAATTAGCTTCCGTTCAGCTGGCTTCACGATGCAAATGGTTTATGGCATTCATATTGCAACAACAAATCAATGGAACAGTTAAAATAATTTTACAATATTTGATTAAATTGTATGAGGGGTTATTCGAAGCCTTAAAAATAGGTGTCACATGCACAATAACAAATATTTATTTTATTTAGATCACGTGGTTGTTTAAATAAGATAGTCACGATCAAATCAATAGTGACTGAGTGAAGATAGAAGGGTGGATAGTTGCTGACGTGTCTTCCACTAAATGCCCTTTGGGCTTTTGAGTTTGAGCACTTTCCTTTTTTATTAGCCAGCCCTTTGAATTTGGAAGCAACCAGAATTTAACTAACCTTATCAGTTATCCCACCAGGGCCACCACCCACCACCGTTTTACATCGCCACCTCATCTTCCATCATTCTCATCCTGCTCACGTGGCACTTCTTTTTTTTATTTTTATTTTTAAGGTTTTTATACTTGACTATATTAATTATTAAATATGAATAATATTACGCCAATAACCTTTTCTCACAATGCTGATCTGATCTGGCATTGTCACGGCAGCTCCACCACGAAAAATGATTTTAACTAGACTTAGGAAATGAGTGTTCTTTATAAAGAAATTGTCGTTTCTTACGAAGAAATTACTGTTTCTCAAGAGGACGAAGAGGAGGAGAAGAAGAAGAAAAGAGAATAGAAGAAACGATTGTTCCTTAAAGGAACAACAATCTTCCTTCAAGGAACAGTCATTCCCTGCGAAGGAATAATTATTCATTTATAAGGTATAATTGTTCATTTATAAGGTACAATCGTTCCTTCATCAGGAACCGTCATTTCGTCATAGGGGACGGTTGTTACTTCTCTAGGAACGATCGTTTGTTTCTCGTAGTACTTGGATGCATTGGGTGTGGTGGAAGCTGACGTGGCAATGCTAATCTGTTGATACGTTAAGGTTGTAAGAGAGGTTTGTGAGAATGAGTTGTTCGCTGAGCATTACTCATTAAATATTTTATTTGTGAGAGACAGAACCCCACTGCCCCATCCTTTTATAATTTTGCGAAACAAAAAAAAAAAGTATTTTCTTATTTATGATTTTTTTTTTTTAAAATCATATTCTCTCAAAGTATTTTATTTAGAAATAAAAAAAAAATCATATTTTTAAGTTTGTTTTATAATGTCAAAGGATTTTTAAATACACCATTAATGAACAAAGTATTTAAAATATGTATATTTTGTATTTTTGGGATATGTTTAGGAATTTATTTTGGGCACAAACATATTGTAACTTCATGGGAAAAAAAAAAATCACTGATTAAATTATTTTGACCAAAATATAATATAAAAATATTCATAAATTAATTTAACATTTTTTTTCCAAAAGCTCTCGAGAGTGTACTATTGAATTAAAAGAATATTAAACCACTACTGGAGAATTGAGTCGTCATTCTTCAATTAAAATTTTTAGATGTATTACTTAAAATATTTTGAATTTAATTAATCTCGGTTGCTAATAGGAGTGATCATTGAAAATTTATTGGGTTGTTAACTTTAATATCTGAAAGAATTAGTTGAGGTACGTACAAACTAACTCGATTATTACTATAAAAAAAAAAAATATATATATATATATATATATATATTAGTCAAACAATTCAACCATCTATTTATAGTGATAATCTACCAAAATTTAATTGACTTTTATTATATATAAAAGCCTGTCATTTAATGCTGTTGAAATATAGTAACGAATAAATGAGGTCACCTTGAACTATTATCATACAACCGGTTGCAGCATAAGCCCAAGAGGAGAAGCAATTAAAATGAAAAGCCGCCCGCACAAGCGACGGCTGGAAACTGGAAGCCGAATATAGAATAGAAGAAGATGGGCACGCCGCACGCCCACCAAAGTGATAAAAGCCATAAGCCATTAAACCCCTCAAAAGTGCTTTTTCTACTTTTGGGTCAGAAGCCAGAAGTCCTTCTTCCATCTGCGTACTTTGAAATTTCAAAGGCCAAAAAAGTCACCAACTACTGGTGGCTTGTAAAAATTTATAAAAGCTGTCCATTCAAAGGCTTCTCCCTATTTCTTCTAAGTAAATACCAGCCACAGACATTTACTTTATAATTTGCAGGCCTCTCTGTCCTTTTTACCCCCAATAATGTGTCTCTTTAATGAATCAAACCCTGCCTTTCCCGTCTTTTCATTTTTTCTATTTTTATTTAGCCTATCAATAAAAGAGTACGTCGGTCACATCCCACGAAATCAATCTATCATTAATGAAAATTTAAAGAATTTTGCTGTGTTGTCCAAATTTTTTTTAAGAAGATTTGATTAAATATTTTTTTAATTCATTGGGTAAAGGATGAAAATATATAATTAAATTAATGGATACAAATTTGAATAATAAAATTGTGTCAAAAATTCCGTGTTACAATAGTCAAATTGTGAACTAAAATCCACCAAAATTTGTCGATATATCGGATAAAGACAAAGGTAAATGAATGGTTTTACTGGTAAGAAGTAAAGAAGATTGAATTATTGGGGTTGGGACGGTGAGATTGAGACAGCATTAGCAGCAACAACATTGAAGCAGACATAAGAGTTGCTGGATACGACGGTCGACTTGTCAACTACATATCGGGATAATAACAACTTTCTCCCTGAGGTTTGATCTATTAAATTTGGTTCTTGTATCTGGTCTCAGTTACAACTGAATCCTTGAAATTAGGGATGTTCAAAAAAATCGATTAGAACCAGAACTGATGGGTATCCGAGGTTTGATTTTGGTTATTACCCAGAGCCGGTCGTTAATAGGTAGGTTCCGATTCCAAATTTTTGAAATCATCACTATACGGTTTCGGTTTCGGTTCCGGTTCCTACAATTAGGAACCAAAACACGAACCGAGATTAATATAAAATAAAATTTAAGAGTAGGGTGGTTAATAAAAACTTTTGTAGAAAAAGTAATTTGAATACATTTATATTTATATTTCATAACATTTAAAGTAAGTTGGATTGACTTTTGAGAATCTACCTTTACAAAACAATAGAGTTTGTAATTTTATTTTTGTTAACAAGTGCCAGGTGGGGGGTATTTGTAAGTTTTTAAGGTTTTTTATTTTAAAAACTTTTAGGGGGTAATTATAATTTTACAGGGTACATGGAATTGGAATCGAAACTGTTGTTACAAGTTCCGGTTCTGGGTACCTAGGAACCAGAACCGTCGGTTCTGGGTACCTAGGAACCAGAACCGTCGGTTCTGGTTCCTTCAAAAAATGTCGGGTACCTGGAACCGAACATCCCTACTTGAAATTGGCTAATAATAATATCAAAAAACATTACAAGACTAGAATGTACTTAAGCCAAACCTTAGGGATGAAATTGTTATTCTCCCACTATTTATCTTACATTTCAAGTTCAAGGGGGCAGCAACTTAAATAGTCATAATGGCCCACCTTTTTTTTATTTTTTTATTTTTTTTCCAGTTTGATTTTATGATTGGTTTTCAATCTTGTTTGGTCCACATTACTCCCTTTTCTGTTTTGTCTTCAGGTCGGCTCCATTTTTTTTTTTTTTTTCGTTCTTGTATTTTTTTTAAACAATAATTTAAAATCTCAAATGAGAGGGAAAGATATAAACATGTGAAAAAATAAAACACAAAGGAGATTCAGCTGATTATTAGAAATATAGAATAAATTATTTAAATAATTGTATATTTGTCATTTAAATTAAATTACTCCATATGAGACAACTCAATTTTTTTTTTTTTTAATTAAAAATTTATGACAATCGTATAGAATGATCTTAATTGAGTGGTTACTGTAAGAAATTGGACCACATATCCATTTATACTTTCGCATTCAAGCACTAAATAAAAGATAATTTAAAAATAATAATAATAATAATAAGGAAATTTCTACTAATTTTTTCTACAATTATAAAAAAAAAATTAAAATTAAAAAAAAGTTCAAAACTATCCCAATTGTGACTTTCATATTGTAATGTGATGATGTTCAAAAATGACAATTAATTTAGTCAATTAAAAATCTCAAGTTGACCGGTTATCATTGAACTATCAAACCGCTCGATCATTGATTGCAAAACTTGACGTGGGATCTGTTGATGCATAAATTTGCACCAATAAGAGATATATGATTGACAACGTTAGAACCACGTAAAATGTGTGTATGATCTTGGTGGATCAACAATAGAATGATGAATGTGTAAGGATTAACATAAAACACAAAGAACAAATAATACTTTTTTAAATGGTTCGATCGCTTATAACGCAATGCCTACATCAACCACTATGCTATTGAATATTTTGAAACAATAATTTGATTTACAAAGAGTTTGCAATTGGTTTTCTGCGACCTATTCTATGTCGAGAAATATATTACAATTGAGTTTATATAGTGCTAATTACACCATTGAGTTAGAGATGAACTCAAATTTGATAAAACGAAAAGTAACGTAATCTTCGATCTTGATCATGTGATCTATATCACGAAATATCTACATGCCAAAAAGGAGATTTATTTGTTCCAGATTTCTCGCACATTAGGATCAAACCTTGACTAATCTAAGAATGAGAAGGTATTTATTTTAACATCTATTATAGTGAATGAAAAATAGTAATAAAAATATTTATTTTACGGGGATAATAATGAAAACCCCAACGTGTTTCAAATATCCCCAAGCCCCCAAAGATTTCCAGAATAGGTCCTTAACCCCTATTTTTTGATGAGCCATCTGGTAATCCCGTTTATAAAATGTGTCAAGAGTACATGAAAGACGATTGCACCCTTTGACATATTTATCCTTTCATGGAAGATATCGAATTTTCCCAACCACAAAATGTTGACATGTGTCCATTCTTTTTTTTTTTTTTTTTTTTGTTGAAAGTGTCCATTCTTTATATTGTCAAATGATTATACATATTATTATTTTATAGATGGCTGTTGCCGACGACTCCTCTTGGACTTCTCTTTCGCGCCTAACCCTTTTCATCTGTCAATTGTCATAGTGTTTGGCAATCAGTTAGTTTATTTGGTGTGTTTGGCTTAAAGCTACCCTTTAATACTATCAAATATTATGCACTTTATTTTTTTAATTACTATTAAGCCCTTGATAGTGACAAATTAACCAAAGGTTCTGTCAAAAATGGGGGTTAAGGTCCTATTCTGGAAATATGTGGGGCCTTGGAAAATAGTTGGATTGGAACACATGAGGGTTTTATATTATCCCTATTTTACGTGCACGGGGGAACTAAAATGGAGTTTAGCCGAGCCAAAGATGATAGTGAAGCCGAGAGGAGCCGGGCTGAGAGAATGGGATGAGTTTGTCTGTATATGGGACTATGGGAGGTCCATCAAGGCATCCTGAACCAAGAACGTCCGAATCGCTGATGCTACCAACACAAAAGCCTTATTCCTGTGCTCTCCACGTGTACTCTTCTCATTGGCCGTACATTTTTTTTCCTTCAAACATCAACTCCTCTCTTCGCTTTTTCTTTTGTGTTTTTCCTCCACTTTTTTTTAAAACTTCCATCGGAACAGATACTCGTAAAATCACCGGAAAAATTTTACACTGTTTCGCCTTCAGCTATCTCTGAACTCTTCCACAACGACGTCGTTTTTTTCTTCTTTTTCTTCAAGAGGACGACTATTATGTAAAGTACTTTCGTTTTCTTTTAGCGTGGACTGTAAGTTGCTTTTTTTGTCTTTAGCTTGTTTTCATTGATTGAGCTTTTCTGGTATAAAATTTATGTACGGGAGTTGAGGCTTCAAAATTTCGAGAATTTCGAAGGACTGTTTAAGTCGGATAATTATATTTTTTAAAAACTCTTTTCTTCTTTTTCGAGTGGTGGTTATTCTGAATGGTTAATTTGGAGAGAGGAGTAACAGTTATTAGAGGAATTAGGTTTTGGTTTGGTGGATTTAGTATGTTTTCGAAATTGAAAAAAATGATGTTTGTTTTAAGCTAATTAGAGGCGATAATTGTTGTTGTGTATAAAGAGAAGACGATTGAAGTGATAATAAAAGAAAAAATGAGGAACTCGGGAATAGTTTGAGGTTGCAACTATGAGTTGCAGCAACGACAAGAACAGAGGAGGAAGAGAAGAGAGGGAACAAGACCAGCATGTTTTGCGGAGGTCTGTCGAGAGAGAATCTATGACCATCTCGCAAAATGGATCCATAACGGCCCCGCAGTTGACCATCGATGAAAATCTCCTTGTTGACCCTAAATTATTGTTTATCGGCTCCAAAATCGGAGAAGGAGCTCATGGAAAAGTTTATGAAGGAAGGTCAGTGTCAACTTCTTTATGTTAACTGATTTTTTACTTTTAATTTTTGTGTTGGGACTTATGCAAAACAGGGTTTTCATTTTTCCCTTAAAGTTATTGATAATGTAAGCTACAGGTCGCTGATTGTATAACCATGGATGGCTGTGTAACTGACGTGTTTATAATAGTCTAATGTGTAATGGTACTGGGATTAATCTGTAACAGGAGAACCTAATGTTTGTGGGATTATAATTTTTTTTTCTCTTAGTATTTTTGAAAATGGAGGCGGGTATGTTTCTTGAGGAACAAATACCACTCATTTTTTCGTTTTGGTTAACTACATTTGGGATTTAAGATGTATTTTATCGAATTCTTTACTCTTCTGGAATGGCACGTAAAATTTTGGTAGATATTTGTGTAGATTTTCATGTTTGGTTATAAGGATTTTCCTTCTATTTTGAAGTGAATTGTACCATTGGACTACCACTGGAACTGTAAGAGTAGTTTGTCTGGCAGTATTTCTGGTTACATAGGTGAAGTCTAATACTTTTCCAGGTATGGTGATCAAATTGTTGCTATCAAAGTTCTCCACCGTGGGAGCACTTCAGGAGAAATAGTTTCACTTGAGAATCGTTTTGTTCGTGAAGTCAATATGATGTCTAGAGTAAAACATGAGAATCTTGTCAAGGTGAGTGTCAAAATCAATCCCCCTTCTTCCACATATCTGGCTTATCTTACATGGTGTGAATCAATGAACCCCATGAAGGAGTTATCTGCAAGTTTACTTGTGTACTTTTGCACTTTCATTCGCGAAGGGTAGATTATACACTTAAAAATATGGGTTTCATTATCATTTGCTTTAATGCTTGCAACCTACAAACTTCTTTCCCTTGTTAGTGTGTCTGTAATATCCATAGTACTTAGCTTGTTATATTTCTTTACTTTGCAGTTTATTGGAGCTTGTAAGGACCCACTGATGGTGATAGTGACAGAGCTATTGCCAGGGATGTCATTGCGGAAGTATTTAGTTGGCATTCGTCCAAATCAGTTAGACCTTCATGTGGCTTTAAATTTTTCACTTGACATTGCTCGAGCCATGGAATGTCTGCATGCCAATGGCATTATACACAGAGATCTGAAACCTGGTACTCCCTGACCAAAGTTTATCATGTTGTAATATTGATCCAAGGTTCTTTTAAGGAGTTATCCAGAGTTTCTCCTGTTTATATGTGTGGAATGTCGAGGAACGATGTGCTTGACCTTGTTTCTCTTCCCCTTTTCTGTTTAATGAAAGCATCTACACAATTTAAAGTCATCTCAATAAATATGTGGAAACTAAATTTTATTGTAACAGCGTTAACAGCCTAACAGTTTCTGGATATACTGACCTTGTAGTTGTCTGTACTGTTATCTTAAATTATTTTCTTTATGTGCCTTGCATCATCCAATAAGGGTATTGTCCTGACTTTTGGTTTATTTTTAAGTTAAATTTTTAGCTCTATTGGTATTTACTTTTTTATGACTCTTCTCCAGCTAATTAGTTCAAGCTATATTGTTTTATATTTGTATCATCAGAATGAATGTGGACATCGAAGCTTCATGTACTAAAGATGATTGTAATACATTCATTGATACCATACTTATTCTTTCAGCTGAAATGAATGATGCTTGTAGTTTTTGTGATTTAATGAAGCAGAATTTAGATTGTAATTTCCTGTCCTGGATAGTATAACAAAATTTGATACCAATATAATTCATAATTAATTGTTTCAATGCAGATAATTTATTGCTTACAGCAAATCAGAAGTCTCTGAAGCTTGCTGATTTTGGTCTTGCAAGAGAAGAATCTGTGACTGAGATGATGACTGCGGAAACTGGAACTTACCGATGGATGGCTCCCGAGGTTTGTGGCTCCTAGGACTTTTCCTTGTAGGTTTTGTGGAAATTTAAGTGTTGGGGGTGCAAAGTAGAAAGGTGGCTTCAAAATGAATTGCTTAAATATCAAATTGAATAGTTTCTTTGATTTTGAGGTTCTGCACTGCTTTCTCATGGTGCAGCTATAGGTAGTTTTTCCTTTTGTCAAAATCCTCTATTCTATGACTTGGAAGTGATTGACATCATTTGTTTGGGTAGATTTATATTATATGCAAGATATAGAGATATATACCTTTTCCTGTACAATTGTCTCTCTCTTACTAACAATGTATGTGCCTTTGCAGTTGTATAGTACTGTGACACTGCGTCAGGGAGAGAAGAAACATTATAATAACAAGGTTGATGTCTACAGCTTTGGAATTGTCTTATGGGAATTGCTAACCAACCGCATGCCATTTGAAGGCATGTCCAATTTGCAGGCTGCTTATGCTGCTGCCTTTAAGGTGCAAGAATCAACTATGTGTAATACTTTTCTGTTGCATTTGGCCAATTGAACACAATGAATATTGAAATGAAGATTTTGCTAATCAAATTATGTTTTGTCTGAGATGCAGCATGAGAGGCCTAGTCTTCCACAGGATATTTCCCCTGATCTTGCATTTATCATACAGTCTTGTTGGGTTGAAGACCCTAACATGAGGCCAAGCTTTGGCCAGATTATTCGCATGCTCAATGCTTTTCTCTTCACACTTGTACCACCCCCACCATCTGTTCCAGAATCTGACTCTAGTGAGCCAGAAACGAGTAATGGCTCCATGACAGAGTTATCTGCTCGTGCAAGAGGAAAATTTGCTTTCCTTCGCCAACTGTTCACTGCTAAAAAAACCAGGAACTCACAATGAGTGGGTAAATTTTGAGCAATTTTCTTTTTGTTCCATTCAGAGAAAGTTGGTATGCAATAGTAGATATATATTTTTAGTGAATCACTGCTTAGTTACCTTAAATGATTAGCTGAGGAACAAAAATGTTGAAAGGAAATGATGTTGATGACAATATCATTGACAAAAATAAAAGAAGACAAGTAGGGCACTATTTTCAATGCTAGTTGACCTTATTGTAAAGCAGATACATGGTTTTAGACCTTTTTCCTGTTCATATCAATATCACAATCTCATTCTGAAACTACACTTTTTATTTTTATTTTTTAATGCAAAGTAGCAATTTATATTCAGTTTGAGTACATGTTGGTTAGAATTGACGTGTCCAGGTGGGCAGGATTGCATGATTTGGCTCTGAGCAAAGTAGCGGTAGATGATTGTTATTTTTGAGTTTCTATTGCTTGACTGGTAATGACAATGTGTTTGAATGCTTTTACTGGAGTATGTGTATACATGCATGCTCTTTTCATGACAAAGTAACCAAGCAAATTGTATTCAGTATTTTGTATTTGGTACTGTAAAGTTGCTCTGTTAATTTGGCCTGGATAATATGCAATAATAGCTTCAAAGTCCTGAAAGAGGTTTTGATTAATTATCTGGAGTTGAATGCTTGAAATGCAATATTTTCATGCTTTCTTTGGAACTATGCTTGTGGATTGGCTTGTGCATGAACCTGTAGGTTTGAATTTGAAAATCTGGTCGCCAACTCTTCATGTATTATAGGATAATTGTCCTACTAACATTCGATTCGCAGAATAGATTGGAAAATATGCTTTTAATTCTCATTTTAGCTTGTCCAAGCCAAATATGGAAATGCCTCCAACATTTTTCTCAACTGCACATGTACATAAGTTCTAAAAAGAGAGATTGTTGCAAGGGACATTCACTGCGCAAATCAGGCCTCCATTAATCTGATAACTGGCATGATTTTTCTGGGCAGCTCAATGAAATGCTCTGTTTTCGTACCAGAACCGAGAATCAGGACAACTCAACTCGTTGAAGTTGAGCTTCAGAACTGATTGCATCCTTTCCTCGAATCAAAGGTACGGTTTATCGCTCTTTTCAACTCAACACACAGCCTGCTGCCTGTTTGAGATACTGCATTAGCAAATAGCAGTTTAGTTTGTGGAGATGTGATTAATAGCCACTTATTTAGATATCCTCTGTGATCATTTATGCAATACGAAAGGAGAAATTTAGTGTTTGACAGATGATGTTAAATGTCCAAATATTCTGTCAAAATGCCATAGTGTAAGGTATTACATTGTGTGTACTAACCAAGGTTTTAAAACCCAGTCTGGGGTGAAACCCACCAAAGTGGTCGGGGCCCAGGTTGACCGGTTAAATCGCATTGACTGACGGTTCAAGCCGATGATGTCAGCATGTCCAAAGGTTTGAAATTTAGCAAACACACCCCCAAAAATTACACATCAAGCCCTACAAGTTTGAAATCCAGCTAACATACCCTAAATGCAAATCGACTATCGACTGGTTGGTGGTAGCAACATGCCGACACACCAAGTGCAGATCTCACTCATCCTTTGAGCCATTTCCAACAATTCTCCTCAAGATCTAGCCCAAATTGAACTATTTTGTGGCAAAAACACCACCATTGGCGTCAACAATCCTCCCCATTATTACAAAAGCACTCCCCTCAACCTACTGACTAAAACCCATCTCACCTAGTCCCTATTGGTTCGCCAATTGCCGACAACAACCCGTTATTGCAGTCGCGCGAATTTTGCCCTTTTTAGTCGTTTTACTCATCAGAAATCACTTTCATCGTCACCTTTCAACTCATCGACACTTCCTCTACAAAACCTTTAACAGCCCCACCACCTTCTGCTTATCGATCACTGCTCATAAATCTAGGGTTATGCTTTTTCTGTGGGTGAATAGTTGAAATGGGAATCCGGTCGGGCCTGGCCAAGACCCTGGGTCTTGGTTAGATCGATTAAACTGGTCGGACCAGTTTGGGATTTAAAACCTTGATACTAACAAATGATAGCATAACTTATATATGCAAAATTCAGAACTGATAGTTGGGTGTTTGTTTATGTGAATTAAATTGGTAAACGTTAAACTCAAGTAAATACCACCAAAGAAAAAACAATTTTGGCTTGTCTCCGACACAAGATGCCCTGCTGTAAATTTGGATTTAATAAAACAATAAGTGGGAATTTCGAAAGAAAATTCCATGGTTTGACCAGCCAGAGGAGTAGAATAATTAAAGATTCGGTCTTTATTTTGGACAGAGTACAAGACCCGATCGTAAGTTACTTAGCAAATATGCATATACAATTCTAAACATTATAATAATAATAATAATAATAATTATTATTATTATCTAATTAATCATTAAAATATAGTTTACTTGAACACTTAATTATAAATTTATCAATATAAGTTTAGTCAACCCTTTAAATGTTTATCTTTCAAAATTATACCGGAAAAAATAAGAAAGTTGATTTCAGTCTAATAAAATTTTAAACAGTATCTCTTTCGTGGTAGTCCGATGATAAACTCTTTAATTATTGAAGTTAAATATACATTTATATATAAAAGGCTTTGTATACGAGTTTACTTTAAAACAAATATTTATCACATTTATACAATTATCTGAATAATTAAAATAAAAGCTGCCATGATTGACCGAGTCTTTCATTTCATCAAACACATCCAATGCAATTGCCGACATCTTTCCCGGCAAAGCTTTCGTCGAAAGGCTGTGAAACATATGATATTCACCTGCAAATGTACGGGATTCTAAGAAAGGTGGGGGTCTTATAATTGAAGAAGATGAACTGTTTATGAATAAAGAGTAACAGTAGCATGAATATGACTAAACATTGCAGTAAGAAGAGGTAAATCTGTGCTGTATGTATGGTATTGGTACCCAATTCAAGATTTTTCAATCTTTTAATTTTTATTATTGGGATATATTTTTGACATAAAGTTCAGTAATTGTTTGGTTTATTTAGAGTAAAAGTCAATCCCAAGCCATGATTCTCCTTGGATTTATGCGAACTTGGATTAATTATAGTTTTTTTAAATTTCCATGAAAAACGTCCGAAAAAGACTATAAATTATAATAGTACACGACCGGGACTGATCCAATCAGTCTCAGCGTGGACTAAGAAATTAACAGCCGTTGGATGTTCTCCAAGACATGCTTTATCAGAAATCTAAAGAAATTCAACGGCCAAGCGTTTAGACAAACTTACACGCCATGTGAAAAATATTTTTTGTGTAAAAGTTAAAAGACTGAAGAGTCAATGCCTGAGTTACCGAGAGTTGAAGAAAGAAAAAGAGAATAGATAATAAAAATCTTTTATCATTTGATTCAAGATCTAGAGACGAGTTTGATGATGATCAGCCGAAACCAAGACCTGGGTTTTTAATTTGGGGGAGTTTTGGAAAGTGGGTCGGGTTCTGATTGAGCCAAGATGGGTGAAAATGCAGCAGCTATGCAGACAGCTATAAACTCAGTTCAGGCTCTGGGGAGGGGCTTTGATGTGAATTATGATACGAGGTTGTTGTATTGTAAGGGAGTTTCAGGGTCTAGAGTAGTTCAAGTTGATGGAGAACATACTAGGGATCTTGTTTTGTATGATAACGTAGTTGTTTCTAATGTTTCTTGGGACATCAAGAACTCACAAGACTCTTTTGGCCGACAGCGCTCTGGCGTTTGCTCTTTTCAGGAGGTAATAATTTTTCATTTTTTTTTTTTTTGGTCTTTAATTTTTTCTTTAGTTCATTTTTTCTAATAATTTTTGGGTGAGCTTAAGGTAGTATAGATTGGTGTTGAAGTGATAATTGGATTATTGAGATTGGCGCTGAGGAGGAAAACAAGTGTAATAATAATCAATAAGCTAAAAAGAATGATATACAAGATTAAAGCTTGAATTTTTTCAGTTTATATTCTGGTAATTTTCTGTTGTATCCTAAGAGAAATAGCTTTATTTATTTATGTTTGCTCTCAATTTTATTGCGTTGAATTAGTAAATGACCTGGCTGCTCAATAGCAACACAAGTTTAGGGTGGCTCATGGAAGTTACCTGACCGGTTGAAGTCCAAGCTCAAGTTTAGAGGTCTTTTGTGTTTATCTTAGAAAAAAAAAAAAAAAAAAAGGAGGTTAATTGCTCAAGAGATTAAGCTCGAACCACTTAAAGATGGTATGTGCTGCAGTTAGAATGACATCTGAAGAAACTGTTTCAAGAAGATCTGATATGTGATGAAATTCAATGATGAATGACAGAGAATTGAGTACTGAGTTTTTTGAGAATACTGATAGATTTGTAGGCATTATGTGCCACTAATTTCAGAATCTGAAATAACACAGAGCTGTATTTGGCTAATGGATAAGCTCTGTTGGATTTCTGGAAGTGCCTGTTTTAGCTTGGGAACAGTCAAATATAGATGTAGAGAGTTTTGAACTGGGATAATTTGTATTTGCTTGTAAGTCAAAAATGGGGTTAATGCGACAAAATGTAGCTGTTAATATGGAAGTGACAATTGCATTGGATGGAGAATTATCTTGAAAAAGTTGGATAAAGAGTGAGAGAGAAATAGGAATTATCAAATTCTATTGGCATGTGTGTGCAATGCAGGAACAGTAATTATTTCTTTTGAACTTAAGAGCACTAGACTGTGTATTTTAAATACATCGTGTTGCTTTAATATTTATTAATATACTTCTTACAATGGATGATTGCAGATGGTGGAGTATTTTAATCAAAGGGCTAATTTATCTGGAGGTTTCCCTCTTGGTAGTTTCAATTCTGCATTTAGCTTCACTGGTTCAAAGCATATAGATGCTGCAGCCACAAAGACATTATCTATGGATGGTTTTTATATTCCACTTACTAAAGTTGAGCTTAAATCCTCATTTGTCTTGCAAGAAAATGTGAGAGGGGCCGTTCCAACATGTTGGGACCCTGCATCTTTGGCAAAGTATGAATGTTTGATTTAAAGGAAGAATATATGATGGCATAGCTTGTAATTGTACCTAACTACTAACATTTCTTTTTACAGCTTTATTGAAAATTTTGGGACTCATGTGATAACTTCTGTAACCATTGGAGGTAAAGATGTGATATATGTTAAACAGCATCATTCATCACCGTTGTCAACAATGGAGATTAAAAACTATGTTCAGGATGTTGGAAATCAGAGGTTTTCTGACAATCACAGTCATACAAGTTCAGGTCAAATGAAATTGAAGGATAAGGCTAGTTCCAGAATATATCTTTGTATTTATTTTTCTTTCATTTATTTATCAAGTTTTCTGAATCACTTGTGATTTACTATATGTATTATTTTGAGTTATGCAGGTGGATCCTGGATTATTCAACAGCCAAGGCATATACCCTCAACCTACCAGTGCACCATATCTTACAGGGAAAGAAGTACGTTAACATCTTAATGTTTTCCAATGTTTATTGGATAATCTAGTGATAAATTTTTTCTTTAAAGAATCTCTTCTTACTTCTCTTTGGGTGGTTATCTTTTTAGTCTCTAAAATTAGGAGAAGTAAATAAAAAAAAAAAAAAAATTCACAAACTCTATGTTTTAAAATCAGTGCATAATTGGCTGCACAATTGAGGGCCCTTGGCACTGTTGATTTGGAATGCAATCAACCAGTTGACTGCTTTCAGTCATGAATTGTTGCTTCTGGTTTTTATCATATCATGGTGCTTTCTCTGAATTTATATTTTATGTAGTCAGTTGCAACAATTTAGACATTAATTGCATCATTTATTATGATTGAGATTCATGTGTTTAATTTATGTGTCCGCATTTTGTCCAAAAGCTATTCTGTTCTGTTGTGGGTTTCTGTCAGGATAGTTGTCTGATGCTCATTTTCTTTTACAATAATGGAGATTGCTTGTGATAGTTGTCCCTGGTTGCTAAATTGGTGTTTCCATGTGTGGCAGAACAAAAAATTTGCTTTTGCGAAACAAATTCTTGATAGTTTTTCACTGTTGATTGTTGACTTCCTAAACCATTCTACTTCTAATTGCCTTGAAGCATTGAACTGAGAACTTAATGAAACTCTTGTTGATACAGGATGTTACAGTCATTTTCCGGAGGAGGGGAGGAGATGATTTGGAGCAAAGCCACACCCAATGGGCAAAAACTGTACATTCCTCTCCGGATGTCATTGAGATGACTTTCTTCCCTATCACTGCTCTCCTTGATGGGGTAGTTGGAAAGGAACATCTGACTCGCGCTATTGGTCTTTATCTCGAATGTAAGACAATCACAACTTTATCATTTAGGGATGGAATCTTTGCCCTTTCATCTGCTTTTTTGATAATGGTAAAACATTACTAACTGCTAGCTTGAAAATTTTTCTGGTAACTATGCACAGATAAACCTCAGATTGAAGAACTGAGATATTTTCTAGAGTTTCAGATTCCTCGGTTATGGGCTCCTGTACATAACAAGATTCCTGGCCAACAAAGGAAGGAACCTGTTTGCCCATCTCTGCAATTCAGCATAATAGGGCAAAAGCTTTACGTCAGCCAGGAACAGGTAAAAGTTTTAAGGGCTCACTGTGTATCATGTTAGGTCGAAATTGGTTGTCCCTAGGAAAAAGAATCATGTTATTGCATTGATACGGCATCTAGAATTTTTGGACTGCTGTTTTACTGTCTTTCTATGACTATCTTTGGTTCCCTTGAAATTTGTTTTTCCTGGGACTTAACTAGGGATATCAATGAATTATGTTATCTCCATAACCGTAATAATTTAAAATACCAATACTGTTACATCATGTTATCATTATGATAGAACCCTCTTTCTATCTCCACCTGCAACAACTATTCATGCACTTCAAGTACCAGAATACCCAGTCACCTCACAACAAACGCAAACAAATCAATCCAGACTTTCAGAAATACTTCTGCAATATCAGTTATATTCCAACAATCACCAGTTCACTACTCAACAAAAATACCAAGTACAATCCAGAGAATGAACAGTAATAGACAATAAGCAAATTGGCAAAAGAGAACAAAAATAAAGAAAGAAAAAATAACAAGGACAACCAGCTGGCTTCGAGGGCCAGTACCTCCCCAACCCAAATTCCCTTCTACTTTTCTGATACCACAATTATTCACTGTCACCCTTCTTATGCACCATTCCCACTCTAACAGAATTATGTCAAACCCGCTCTGAAGATGCCACCTGTCCAATGCTGAGTGTGCAGTAACCACCTGTGCAATGCTGAGTGTGCAGTAAAGTGCCATTTATCCTCTATTCCCTCTCTTATTCTTTCTGCTGAAGACGTGCACTAAAGGGGTCTCATCACATTACTGGCCTCATTGTCATCAACTCTAATTTGAATGTTTGGTTGAAATCATTGTATATGGATTCCACTTAGTTTTCCAGGGACATAAGCGGCGTAATATTATGGAACAATTGAACTTTTTATACACACTGGAATGTTAGCCAACCTTTGTAATAAAATGTTGCTCATTATATTGGCTTCATGTAATTGCAGATATCAGTTGGTCGTAAGCCAGTTACAGGTTTGCGATTATCGCTTGAAGGAACCAAACAGAATCGCTTATGTATTCAGCTTCAACACTTGGCTTCTCTTCCAAAAATTTTACTGCCATACTGGGACAGCCATGTGGCTATTGGTGCTCCAAAGTGGCAGGGACCTGAGGAGCAAGATAGTCGATGGTTTGAGCCAGTAAAGTGGAAGAATTTTTCTCATGTGAGTACCGCACCAATTGAGCACCCTGAAACCTTTATTGGTGACCTTTCTGGTGTTTACATTGTCACCGGAGCACAACTTGGGGTATGGGATTTTGGATCAAAAAACGTTTTGTACATGAAGCTTTTGTATTCTCGACTAGGAGGTTGCACCATTCGAAGATCTTTGTGGGACCATTCCCCAAATGACAAATCTAAGAAAGTTGCTACTGTAGCCAACTCTGGTGACTCTAGTACAGGTTCAAAGGAGAACATAACCAGCAACAAGTTGGCGAAGTTAATTGACATGTCTGAGATGAGCAAAGGGCCACAAGATCCTCCAGGTCATTGGTTGGTTACTGGTGGAAAGCTTGGCGTAGAGAAAGGCAGAATAGTTTTGAGAGTAAAATACTCATTGCTGAATTATTAAGTGTATTTATATGTTTTTGAGTGATGATGTGCAGGAAAAAGGAGGGGGAGTTTTGTAGATGCATATGGATTTGTGTTCATCATGCTTGTAAACAAATACCGAAATGATGAACTGAGTTAATTGAATGGGTGAGGAGCTGTATTCGGGTGGCTTTGCACATGAAGTTTCTTCCAATTTTGATGCCAAATTATGTTTTCTTGGAAACGCTGTGAATCTGTAGAAAATGCCAGTTCTTCACAAAGTGATCAAGGGATGTAGAAGTTAGACTTGCAAGTTTGTTTATGTATCTATTATCTAACTAATAATGGGGTTTCCATTTTTTGGTCTCTTCTAACTGCTGTAGAGTTGCTCTTCTGAAACGTAACCTTAAAGAACTTGACACAACTCATCGGACCCGCCATTAAAAAGGACTACAAAATTTGACAATAATGAAGTTTTATTATGTGGTTCGTGTCTCATTCACAGCCATAGGTACCAGACTTCCACATTAAATGGCTCGCTAAATGTCGCTGGGATATTAAACATACTAAATTTATTGTGAGATCATTTTTGTTGTATGCAACACGAGCTACTCAAAATCAAATGATCCTTAGTCTAGCTTTTTCCTCCCTCACCATTTTCCAAATACGACGTGTCAATATGTTGATATGTTTACCTTGAGTATTTGGTTTAACGGTTAATTATATTTGTTCTATTTTTTTAGTTTTTGAGTTTAAACCTTAATTTTATTTATCATAATAATATTATATTTTATCTGATCTTTTAGTCTTATATAGTGTTTAATTAACTTTTTATATTATTTGAGGTAAATATATATATGTTGATAGATCGACAAATGTCATGTTGTGTCCACATCTTTCACATGCATACATACAACAATTTCTCCAACATCTTTTATATAACATAAAAAAAAATGATATTTTATTAATCAATCCCACACCCATTTTCAAATGAGTTTGGAATTTATATATACATGCATAATCACTTATATATCATAAAAACCTTCTTAAAATATAATAAAGCATAGCGGGTGCAATTTTTGTCACCTCAGCTTAAACCCCATCACATGTCTCTACTACTTCTTACGACTTTAGACTTTACATTAATTAGAAACACATTTACCAAATATGCAAAAATTAATCACTAAAATTGGCCTCCTTCAAAAGTTTGTCCAAATTGCCAATTACCAGGCACAACATTGTAGCTTGTCACAGTCCTTCCATCGCTAGTTGTCAGTTTGAATGAGAGGCTTTGGCCATTCAGATAGGAATTGCTTTGCCAGTTTTGGCCCCAATTTCTTGACATTTGTAGCCATCCTGTTCTCGACCCCTTAATGGANTATTAATCAATCCCACACCCATTTTCAAATGAGTTTGGAATTTATATATACATGCATAATCACTTATATATCATAAAAACCTTCTTAAAATATAATAAAGCATAGCGGGTGCAATTTTTGTCACCTCAGCTTAAACCCCATCACATGTCTCTACTACTTCTTACGACTTTAGACTTTACATTAATCACTAAAATTGGCCTCCTTCAAAAGTTTGTCCAAATTGCCAATTACCAGGCACAACATTGTAGCTTGTCACAGTCCTTCCATCGCTAGTTGTTAGTTTGAATGAGAGGCTTTGGCCATTCAGATAGGAATTGCTTTGCCAGTTTTGGCCCCAATTTCTTGACATTTGTAGCCATCCTGTTCTCGACCCCTTAATGGATACCGCCGTGATGTCCCCGGCACCACCCACATTCGTTATCAAAACCAAGTTGAAGTATGAATGGCCATTGATGGTGAATCTTATGCCTCCTTTCTTCATACATGGTACCCTGCATGCACCCACAATTTTATAATTACTTGGAACTAATTAACGTTGAGACTTTAGGTCTGGATTTGATGTTATGTTTACCTTTTGAAGAGGACGGGGACGATTCCAGCGCGATATTGTGCAATTTTCAAGAAGGCGGGCTCGGCCAAATCGAAGTGTTGGAGAGGGGGATTGCACCAGCCGCCATTTTCATTGGCCAATGCGTAGTTGGGAGGGCAAAAGTTGGTGGCAGTGACGGTGATGGTACCGGAGAGGCACCATTGAGGATCATTGTTGCAGCGTATCTGGTAGCAAGCACCGCAACTTAAGCCACTGTTGAAAAGAGCCGTGCTTAGAGCTGCAGTGGCTGTTCCATAGCCTTGACTGTACAAGTTTCCATACCCACATGCTCCCCCTACAAATACAAATTGAACCACACCAAAATTTCAAAACCCATTTAAATAAAAGACAAATGCACAAGATCATCAGGTTTAACATACTCACCCATTGTGCCAGAAGCATCACTGCCACCATAAAATGTGGCATGTGCAACTTGCCAGCTACCGTAGTCTCCATTGATGCCATGAAAACATAAGCTGAATAGAAAGAAAATAAAAAATGACATAGTTTGCATCATTTGAATAGCCATTTTCTGCTTCTTTGACTTAGGATGAACAAGGAGAGAAGTGGGTATGTTGCTTAGATTTCTAAATTTTGCTTGAAGATAGAGCAGAAGAAGCAGCTATTTATACAAGAAGAGAGAAGTGATTTAATTAGTAGAGGGAGGTGGGTTTGTTTTTGAGAAAGAGGTGATCACCACGTTAGAACCGACCCAACTGCCAAAGAAAATAGATTAATAATTTTATTATAATTAATCGTATAATCCATGCATCATCAAGAGGTAAATGCATATTTTTGTATACTCGGGGCCCGACTCACCAGTCACCCACACGCATTGCTCAACGCTATCTTTTATTGTTCTTTATTTTCCTCCTTCATATCTTCCTACTTTTTTGCTCATTTTTTCTGGTTTGACTTCTTTAATGACTTGAAACTTTAATATTACAGTACACCATGTCAACCATTTCTTATATTGATCATGAAAATGTGAACAAATATAATATCACGTAATTATAAAACCATTCTGCCATTTCTCTGAAACCCTAGGAGTTATTGAAAAAGTCACGAGAGCTAGCCTAGAAGAAGAGGGAAAAAACAAGAGAGTGACAAATCAGCAAATGGTAGGAGGGTTTTTGTTCAGAGTTTCATGTGAGTGAGATGATGGGCTGGCGTTGACATGCTGGCCAACCCAACCAAATAAGGAGTCTGGTGAAGAAGATGATGACGTGTCCATGCTGAGCTGTATTTCAAGCACCAGCTACCTGTGAAATGTGAGTGATCTTTTTAATCTCCTATTATATGGGTGGCTCCTTTTTTCAGTCCAGGCGTTGACTTGTACTTGCATTTGACTTGTACTTTCTCTATAAAAAAATCTTGCTGACTATGCAAATTTTTTCTTATATAAAAGTCATAATTGATGGTAAAATATTTTATTTTACCCTTAAATCACCTTTCGGTGGCCGGATGGTCAAATTGTAATTTTTGAGTGTATTACTTAATAAATTCTGTCAAAAAATTAATTACGGTATGAGCAAACTAGTTCTAACAATCCCGATCACCAAAAAATATATATGGGTTCGTTTGTTTTAGTATTTTAAATATGATTTTTGATATTTTTAGAGTTGAGTACGAATAAGGAGAAAAATTTGAAAATGAACAAAAACACCCTTCTAAGTTTGCTAATTTACGAAACACCCCAATGTATAAAAAATTTATAAAATAACAAAAATACCCTCACCCACAGTTGCCAGATTCCGGCCGCCACCATCGAAATCTAGCGTTACAACTCACAACCGGTCGGATCTGGCCGTTCGTGTGTCGTATGGCCTTTTCTGGCCGTCAGCGACAGCTAAAGATATGGTCATCGTTGACGGTCAACGACGACCATATCGACGGCCAGATCTTTGGCCGTGAATCTGGTATTTTTTGGCCAGATCCACAGTGGATCAGGCCGAAAAATGATAGATCGACACACTGCTGGGCAAATCCAGCTAGTAGTGTGCCATTATACCAGATTTCGGCCACTTTTCAGCGGTGGTGGCTGGAATCTGACAAATGTGGGTGGGTGGGTGGGGGTGTTTTTGTTAATTTTTAAACTTTTTTTTTTAATGGTGTTTAGTTAATTAATAAACTTAAGGGATTTAAAAATAATTGAAGAAAATATAATAATATTTTGAGGATAATGAAACAAACAGTTATTTTGAAGATAAGATCTAAAATAGGATACAAAATAACAAAACAAACGGACCTTATATTTTATAGATTAATTGCATGTATACATAGAGGAGATAGTTAAGTTCATGGCTGACTATTTGATTAGAAGTTGGATGAAACCCAGAAGGGAAAAATGAAGAATCATCCAGCTCAGTTTCATTTAAATTCATAATTGTTGCTACCAAATGAATGTTATTTCATTTATTATATAGAGTTAATCTGTTAATGTATAAACAGAAAAATACATCCTTGTCAAGGTACCAAACTTTTCCTTCTTAAATGGATAGATGCATATCTGACTCTTTCGTACCCTGCAATTAATATCATAACTTGCTCTGTAATCTACTCCACCGCTGCCGCATTACAAATTAAGTGATTAGGTTTCCCACGTCAGTTAAAGCTCAGCCAGTTAGGGCAATAAGCCAATAACTTTTGCCAATGAAAAACTTGGTTGCCTGCAGATGATTTGTACAATTTTGGTATTCTATTTTAAGAAAAAGGCTGTAAGGTTAAACACAACTACACGAGACACTGCCACACTGGCCCGAGTATTAGCATTTTGATCGACATTTCTAGTTTCCAGCCGATGGTTCATGAAGTTCTTCTTCTTTCTCGGCCCAAATACATTGGACTCTCATTCTGTTATCAAATTTCAAAGGAATGGCCTGTAATTATGGAATCCCGAGATCACCCAACCTAGAAGCAGCACAAAAGTTAAATATGAGCCTTACAGAAAAGCCCAACTGGACATGCCTTAGCCCAGCCCTAGCCAATTATTTGAAAACCAACTCTGCCCTAGTTTTAACAAGTCATACCCCAAGTTTTAACAAGACAAAACTGGTCAAAGAGAAATATTCTTGGACGGAGAGTGACGGAGGGTGGAACGTGAAGCTTTCCAGAACTTGGGGTATGAATTGTATTTTTGCGATAGTTAGGGTGCGTAAATGTAAACCGGCTATATTTAAATCACATGATAGGTAGGCACGAAAGCATGGCAATAAAGACGGAGAGAAGAAAAAACAAAACTCACCTGCATGTGAGCGAAAACGTATCCGACAGAGATAAATGAATGCCCCAGTATTAATGAGGGAGGCCCAGTACTGAGCTGTGCTTGCCGTGACCTTTGTACGTCCGTCACGTGGCGGGCATTGTGTGTAGTACCTATTCGTATGGTAATTCGAAATTAATTTGACAAGACTACAATGTACCAAATCTGACTGACTCCATCCGATTGTTGACACGTATAATATATTACGTGTACCGTTGGCTGATCTCCGTCGGTGCCCACGTGCGTACAATGTGAACACTGGCTATCGAGAAGACTTCTTCTGCCACCCGGCCGGCCGCATTTATAGACTTTCTGGAACTTATTTTCTCTACATTGGTCTGCAACAATGTTACAGGCCGGTCAGAATTCAACCAGTAACCATAATTAGATTTGCTCCGGCACAAAAAACCACACCAAATTGTTGTAAATTATTTACACCAAATTTGAAATAAAATTATTCATCCACCCAATTTGATGGATACTATTTATTTATTGTAAAATATTTTTTATTTTTAGTATTTATTTTTTTATTTTTTATTTATGTTAATTTGATTATTATTTATTTTAATATTTATAATAATAAATTTATAACAATTATATAATTAAAAAAATTGAATGAAAAATTAAAAATAAAACTTCATTCAATATAAATATTAAATTACAATAACTCAAAATAAATTAACACTAATTTAAAAACACTAAAATTAAAAGAAAATGCAACATAAACTAAAATAGCAATTTATTATTCTGATAAATTAGTTCCGGATCCTTTGAGATCATTAAAATACTGGAAAGAGAGCTATTTTGAGATCTTTAACTTGGATTGATTATAGAATTCAAATTCTTAAATAAAATTTTGTTCTCTTCTCAATATTCTGCCTAAGCCAATTTTTTCATTTAAAATTTTATTTTTGTACTATTGTTGTTTTTTTTTTTTTTTTGTGGCATTTTAAATTAGATATATATTTTTAATATTAAATATAATGTTTATTTGATTAAATAAATATTTAATTTGATTAAATTAGTATAATTTTTAAAGTTATTATTATTTAATAAAAATATTATTCTTAATATTTAATTAATATATAAAAAATAATTAGTTAAATAAATAAATTATTAATTATTAATAAAAAAATAAAAAGAATATTTTTTTATGTAATAAATTAGAAATATAATAATAAAAAAATATATTAAAAGTCGCACTAATTTAGTATAAAACTTGCACCAATTTTAGTGGTTGTGGTCGAATATGGTCTAGAAGGGCTTGAGTGGTTGACAATTAAAATTAAGAGTTGTACACCGGTGAGTGGTGACTGGGCCAACTCAATATTATTGTCCCAACTGAATCAACTATTTTAAGACACAGCATTAATTGGAGGTTGGTAGAGAGTATGGGTTGAAGGCTCTGTATTTTAGTCCCACGTATGCATCCTACAGTTCTGGTTACAGTTTGGAGATCGATCTATAAAAATTCGTTGCCTGTAATTTGATCTCTAATTCTCTATCAATGACAGATATACGGTGTTTCAAATTGGTAGTTTCTCGTATCGTTGATAATGCCTCGAAAATTTATTTGAACGTATCTCAATTAATCTTCTAAGATCTTAAAATTAACGATTAAATATGTCATTTAACGACCAACTTTATTACCGATGGAGATATCTCAAACTCAAGACCTCTTAATATTTAAGAATTCTTGTCTAATCACTCGACTACCTAAAAGTGATTAGCTAACCCGGATATCACCTTGAGGGTGAAAGTGTAAACACCAATAAATAAATGTGGCCACCCTAGGTCTATCCTTAGCATGTTCATAAAATTTACTCTATGTCAAAAGCTGCATAATTTACAGCATCCTTTGTAAATCCCAGTAAATGATCGATTGTCAATGGGATGAAGTATGGAACTTACATGAAAACATGTGTTTTTAAATGCAAATCCAATAAAAATGACTTCAAATTCTTTAGTAAATTGATTTCGAGGAAAATAATATATATACAAAAAATTAAAGTTTAAAGAACGAAATTATACATGTAAACTACCTCTACGTAGTTTGACGATTCGCTTGAGGTTTTTGGATATATTACTTGATAAGTTATGAGTTTTAATCTTTACGATTACTAATAAGGAATAACTACTGGAGACTTATCTGACTGTTAACTTCAAGGTTATGGCCTTTTGTGTGGTGTAAATAGCTTTGCCCCTGGACAGAACCAAAAATGCTTTAGATTCTCGGGAGAACAGCATTTTCCTACCCAAGGTTTGGTGCAACTATAATTTCCCATTTTTTAAGTTTGAAAATGACACTTTCCCGTCGCTAGTTAGGTTTTGTTATATTTTCTGTTAATATTTTATTAAAAATATAAAAATATCTTTAAATATTTAATTTTATAATTTTTTTAATTAGCTAAAAAGTCAAATATTAAAAAGTTAAAAAAAAAAAATAATTAGCTTCACCTACAAAATTATGAGTAATGCTATGAAATTGTTTAAAGTTAAATGACCTTAATATTTATTTATTTATAATGTCATTAATATTCTATCATTATAATTCAATAATCATATTTATAATGTGTTTCATAATATAATGTTTTTCATTTTTACTAATTAATATGAAAAATTAATATTCCTAATTAATTAAATAAACAAAAAGAAAAATACATCTTTACACTTGAACTAATAAATAATCGAGCAAAGATTTTGATTTAATTAAATTTTAATTTATAATAAACTATTTAAAGATATTTTTGTCTTCTCAATCAAATATTAACAAGAAAAATACTAAAAAAATCTGATAAATGGTGAGAAAATATCATTTTAAAACTTTACAGGTAGGAAAATGTCATTTTCTCAAACCTCCCTAGATTCTCAGATGAAATAGCCAGATAGCTTTTTGATAAATGGCAATTAACTTAATTTTATTACCTCGTCTTATATTACCAAAGTCGTCTATGGCTTTTATGAGGGTTTATGATGTTACCGATGTAGTCTTTACAAATCTCTCTATCGCCTTAAAGAATTTAGGTTTTTATTCTTGAGTTACGCATTTTGTAATGGGACAATACCGATGTGCATGTGAAGGGAAGCTTTCATAGAACTGATTATACTGCTTTTTAGATTTTCTGGAACTTATTTTCTTTAAATTGTACTGCTATATTAATGGTATAGGCCGGTCATAATTCAACCATTAACCATAATTAGAACTCCTGAAAGGGAGTTTTTTAGTTGACAATTTTGATTGAGATTTGTACCGGTGAGCCAACTCAATATTATTATTACAACTGAATGTCTGAATCTACTATTTGAAGACAGAGCATTAATTGAAGGTGGGTAGAGAGTATGGGGGCTATGGGGAGAAGGCTCTATCTTTGAGTCCTACAGTTAAAAATATGATAAAAAAAGAGAAAAAACAAAAGGGCACAGCAATGCAATATAGTTTATAGAGCATTTGAAGTTATGGGATTGATGTAGAAATGGATTTAATTTGATCTCTATCAATGACAGAGATACGTGTTTCAAATTGGTAGTTTCTGATAATGCTGATAATGCCTCGAAACTTCATTTGGATGTTGACAACGTTACCAAAGGCTAACGATATCTCAAATTCAGGACTGTTTAACACTCAAGAGTCTATATCTAACTATCCGCCATTCAAAAGTGGTTAGCTAACCATGATTTTGCCTTTGGTGAAAGTGTAACGTCCAATAAATAAATGTGGCCACCTTAGTTCTATCCTCAGCATATTCATAGAATTTACTCTCGGTCAAAAGCTGCATAATTTACAGCATCCTCCGTAAATCCGAGTAAATGATTGATTATCAATGGGATAAAGTATAGAACTTACATGAAAACATGTGTTTTTAAATGCAAATCCAATAAAAATGACTTCAAATTCTTTAGTAAACTGATTTCGGGGGGAAAAAAATAAAATGAACTTTAAAAAATGAAATTACACATATATTCAAATTACACAGAACCAAAATGCTTGTAGGTTCTCAGTTGAAATAGCCAGACTGATTACTAGTGTTAGCTAGTTTTTCATTATTTATTATTTATTTTATTTTATTACCTCGTCTTTTATTTACCAAAGTCGTCAATGGCTTTTATGAGGGTTTATGATACTGATGTAGTCTTTACAAATCTCTCTTTCGCCTTAAAAAATTTAGGTTATCTATGAGATATGCATTTTCTAATTGGACAATAATCAAATTTCTTCTTTGAAAGCAAACTGCGTCAGCAAACTTCTCAATAGTCAATACCGATGGGTAAAGGGAAGCTTTCGTAGGCTCGGTAGAACTAATTATAGGTAATAAATAACCTAATAAATCAGTCTGTTTATAGCTTTGTTCATCTAAATATATTTATCTTCTATATATCTATTCTTTTTATGTCATCTATGAGCTTTTGTGCCATTTTCTATATTTCATTTTGTACTATAAGGAAGGAATACTAAGCGAGGGATCTTGTATCTTCGTTCATCTGTTACAACTTTTTTTGGAGCCTTCACCGTCTAATATTAGAAGTCAAATTTTACTGACCGATGCTGAACATGGTTGGGCGAAAGCGTCAGAGCCTTAATTTACTCCAACCACCAGCGGACCCCTACTCTCTCTTGCATTTACACTCTCTGTACCTTCTATATAAACCCCAGGCCTCTCGCTTCATTACTCACCTAAGCTTCCTATTACAGCCATACTCATCTTTAACATCTCTCCTGCAATCTCTTCTTTCTCAGTTTTCTCAACACTCACTATGGCTAGCCTCAAGCTCGTTTTCGTCTTGGCTTTTGCATTGTTGGTGGTTGCACCAGTGGCTCTTTCCCTTAACTGCGGTCAGGTTACGTCCAACCTGGGCCCATGCCTCAACTACCTGAAGACTACTGGTACCGGTGCTCCACCTCCCAGCTGCTGCAATGGAGTTAAGACCCTAAACAACGAAGCCACCACCACAAAAGACCGCCAAGATGCTTGCCGATGCCTGCAAAACACCGCTAAGAGTCTCCCTGGATTGAACGCTAACACTGCCGCTGGCCTCCCTTCCAAATGCGGAGTTAACATTCCCTACAAGATCAGCACCTCCACCAACTGCGCTAGGTTTGCATCTTTACCTCTCTTACAATGACAATATGCATGCATGTCTTATAGTGCAAAATGGATCAAGTTTTGTTAATTTAACTGTGTTTGTGTTTGTGTTTGCAGCATCAAGTGAAGTGTATGGACTGGTGATTTTCGGCACGAAGTTATTATAGTGTGAGAAGAATAATAAGGAAGGATGTTTTGTATCCGGATGGTTCTCCCTTATCTGAGATCTGTCTCATTTCCTAGTCCTAGTTTGTGTCTTTAGATTTTATGTCGTCCATGCGAGTCGGTGTAATAAAGTCTATTCAAATAATATAAGTTATTTTATATGTTTTTAAATATCCTCATTTTCCCCTTTCGTACGTGAACAATCCATTATCGATTCTTACAGCGGCTGACATGTAATGGCCAAAGTATTAATTAAACGGGAAATGACCAGTGACCAAAATGGTTTTGATTTATTGAAAGATAAAAGCTGAGAAATTCGTAGACAGGATCAGTCAGTTCAGAGTGACTTACCATTTCTGCGACTGTCAATTAATATTTATTTTCAACCGGAAGAAATAGAGGTGGTCCATCAATTGTTGTGATTAATGCTGTGGCCCAATCCTTCATTGCAGTGATATTGTATATTCAATCCTGGCCTTGTGTGTGTGGAGCAACAATCCAACGAGCTAACCACCTCTTGGTCTAGCGGTAACTAGTGTACAAATATACCTACAAATTTTTTTGCCATCTTGAATGTCATAGACAACCAGTTCTTCAAACTCCACAACAACAAGACTAATTCCCAAAGTCCTGTAGAAGTTCAAAATAAGAAGGCATCCCAATCAGTATTTGGAATTAACATTGAACTGGTAAATGGTGTTTTGCCTAAATGCAGGGTCGTCGTATCGTATGCAAGACTTTAATTATGTGTTTATCTTATGCAAGAAACATAAGAGAAAATATTCAATAAATTTGATGTGGATCATTTGATCGGAAGTTTGACGTACAGAAAGGAAAAAGATGGTTCCTCTGTGCCGTTCTTATCATTCCTCTAGTCACTTCCATGGGGTTAGCTAATACCCAAAAACGTCGTCGGAGAGACGATTACGTTTACCCAAAAAAATAAATTTGATCCCAGTGCTTTTTACTTTGATTTCGTTATTTCATGAAAGCCTAGCTAAAAATGTGGTTACATTTATTATGATTTATTAAAGATTATTTTTTAAGCTGATCAAACTAGTTTATAAATTTTAAAATTAGTTAAAAATGTGATTACATTTATTATGATTTATTAAAGAGTGTTTGTCTAATCAAACTACTTTATAAGCTCTAAAATTAAATTGATTTGTTTGTTTATAATTTTTTTGAGTTTATAAGAAAAAAAAAAAAAGTTGAGAGGGGTATTTTTTTTTAGCTTATAAATTAGTTTGATCAAATATATTACTACATTACTCTTGTTTAATTTTAAAATTTTATAATATATCCTTATTTAATGTAATATTTTTTTTAGTAATTTTATAATAAAATATACTTATAAACTATATTTTATTAAATATATTAATTATTTATTAATAAATACTTTAATTAAATACATAATTATCTAAAATTTTGAATACTTATAAATTAATTTATTTTTTATAAGTTGAGACAACAATAAGGTCAAGAAGTAAAGCTCTAATCGACCCTGACGGTGCAATTTAGAAACTTTATACTGTATATGCATTAAATCTTAGCATTTATTATGGTAATAAATTAATTAAAAATCATAACATATTAGTTGAGATGGGGTTATACACGTGTAGGAATTAGATTAGATTAGACTTTATTCGAATAGTTGGGCTAATTATGTTGGTCCCATGCCCCATTATAGAGTGTAACACAAGAACACTCTTACAACCTAATTACGTATTTTCATGACAAAATCGTACTATTTCCAAAACCCAAAGCTGACAATACCTTTGGGGTCTACTGATACTGTATAAATAATTCTCTTATTTTCTCTCCTCCCATCTTCGCCTTCGTTCTCTCACACCAAATACCGAATTTGCTACAATAAATTCAGGAAAATCTATTTGAAGATTTCCGAATCTTTCACACCCAAATGCATTATTGACACTTATTTTTACTTAAAAATATATATAATTAGAGTAAATGACATATTCCCACCCAAGGTTTGATGAAATCCTAAGTTAGTATCCCAACTTCCATTTATTCCAGCTTTCCATCCTTCAAATAACACTGTTAACAATTTTTAGGGTTGTGAGGGTAAAATTATCATAATGCCCTTAACCCTAAATTAATAAATTATGTTTTAACCCATAAATTACTAAAATTATAAAATTAACCATCTTATTTTAAAATTACTTCAATTACACCCTCAGTGACTGCACACCGTCTCCGTTTTCACCGGATCTGGGTTGTTTTCAATGGCGGCGAACTCCCTAGTCACCTCCATCACCTTCCCCATCGTCCGTCGTCCAAAACCCCTCTGGTTCCCGACTCATTGGGCCCTCCAATCGCCAGGCCCTGTTAGACTTAGGCTTTCGTCGTTCTTCGCTGGATTCCGACGACGAAAATGCAATTGGACATCACCACTGCAACCAGCGTCTCCAAATCTACAAAACCCCTATGTCCCCAGCAACCATTTAGTGGCCATTTGCCGGTGGAGACCGACGAAAACCAGTCGCATGTGACGGCTGTTGTGGCTGGCGATCGGCAAGTGATGAGAGGTTGTGAAGAGTAAGGTTTTGTAGAGGGGAGGATGAGGGTTCGAATAGTGGTGACAAGGGTGATTTTGGGTGGAAGAATCGCCGGAAAAGGGCAAAAAATGTTGGCGGTGATGTTGGCTAACATGCGTCGAAGCTTTGTTAGTAGTGGCGATCTGCTAATGTGCGCCTCCTCTGCGAAATGACTAATTTACCCCTACGCCGTTATATCTAACCATTTTCTGTTACTTTAAGGGTGAGAATATAGAATAAATGGAACTTGGGATACCAACTTGGGATTTCGTCAAACCTTGGGCGGAAACATGTCGTTTACTCGTACAATTAAAATATCCTTTAATGTATTAAATTACCAAATCTCTGCTTTTTATATCCACTTGATAGTTAATCAGATCAGTTTAGCTTAGGTAAACTATTAATGTCAGATGTAGCGACAGGAGAAGAAGAGGCATAGGCTAGTATATGTAATAAATTATAACTGGATTGAATATAAAATTTTATTCCAGAAAATATAGAATTTTTATTGATAATTAATTAAAAAAGTATAAAATAGAAGAGGCAGAGGTTAGTAGATGTTCATGCTATGTATTGCAGCTTTCGTCAATCTCCGTCGGTGCTCAGGTAGACAGTAATGGGAAGTCTGGCTGGGGCAAGCTTGCGGTTTCTCAATGCATATGAAATATAGCATAGATTGTTTATATTGTTAAAGAGAAGGTTTAACTTAGAATAGTGGGATTAATTATGAGTAAATTAATAAAATTGGTCATGGGTATCTCTCCCAACAAAATTTAATAAATAACAATCAACTATATAGTTATGTTACTTCAAAGTAAGTTTTTTTATTGATTGGGTGTTTGGACCAATTTACGCAAATCTCAACTAGTCTTCTAAAATACTGGAATTACTGATGGGGTAAGAGTTTTAGTGGTTATCCCTGTTAGTAATCGATGAGGGACTCAAATTCAGGATTTCTTAAGTAATACACTTAAGAATCCCTATTGAACCACTCGATTACCCGGAGTAGCTTTCGAAGCAAGTTTTTGCATTGTCCATGAGTTTCATTCTTAATTAGAGAAAATACAATTTCTTATTCATTTTGAACATGTGCAACATCTGACGTATTAATCAAGTAAAACTTTAATTTCATCTCCTATATGTTTGCTATACCTTCACATGATGCCACATGATTACTGGATTCTATTGCCGATACATCTCATTCCTTACTTATGGAGGGAAGGTTATTCAGAGTACTCCCTGCTACAGAAACTCTTTCAGGTTTATCAATAAAACCTTAAATTATCTACTATATTATTAATTTTGCTCCCCACGTGTTGCTATATTCGCATAATGGCACATGATTATTGATGATATCAACGCAGGAGATCTATCTGAATTCTAAACGAAGTTTACTTAATAATAAACAAATGGATAATATCAATCTCTCTTTTGTATTCAAGCTCTTTACAGCTTCTATATAAACCCTAGACTTCTGCATGTAACACTCACCCAATCCGACTCATATCTCTCTACTCTCTACTAATTAAGAGTTTGTTTTTGTGTTTTTCTCAAATGGCTAGCCTGAAGCTCGTTTGTGCGTTGGTCATGTGCATGATGGTGAGTGCAAAAATGGCTTATGCCTTAGACTGTAAAGAGGTGATAAACGACCTGTCGCCATGCGAAGATTATTTGTTCGGTAGTGCGGATAAGCCGTCAAGCTCCTGCTGCAGTGGAGTCAAGAGCCTAAACAATGCTGCCTCCACCAAAGCTCTACGCCAAGAGGCCTGCAACTGCATGAAATCTTTCGCTGAGAGCTACCCCTCTAAAATCAATGTTAATAATGCAGTTTCCCTCGCTAAGAAGTGTGAAGTCAAGCTTCCTTTCACCATCAGCACCTCCACTAACTGCGCCAGGTTTGCATCTTTCCTTACTTTTTAACCAATAAATTGTATTAGATGAATGACTGAATTTTTTTTACAAATTTAAATCAAAATTGTTTTTTGATTTGTCCTTTTTTTGTGTTGCAGCATCAAGTGAAATGCATGAACTGGCTATTTTCAGCTCCAAAATGTCATAGTTATAAGAATAAAAGAAGACACTTATCCAGAAGGGTCTTCAATTGCATTACATCTGTGAGATCATGTTATGTCTCTTTATTAGATTATCTGCTCATCTATGTGAGTCGTTGTTTGTGGCTATCGAAATCTATATACAAATAATTAATTAAAGTTATTTGATATGTTTAATTGTCTTTGTTCAATGCCCATTTCTGTGAGCAATCCATCGATGATTCCAGCTGTTGACTATGGCAAAATACCAAATGCTTGGGCCATTTTCACTTGAATAAAGACATAAAATGGACATTAACTGACCACTGACTAGCTAGTGGTCATCAAAAGAAAGAAATAAACCCATGCAAGTAAAATTCAATTTGTACATTATTAATAAACGAGAGAGAAGGAAATGGAGCTGAATTTGGGAAAGTGAGAATCTGCTCTTTACTGAATGTTACTGTTCGTTTATATACAGCAGTAACTTTAGTCAACTGAAGTTACTTATCGACTGAAGAATAAAAGTAAATTACATGAATACCCTTTACATCTAATACCCCCCCTCAAGTTGGAGGGTGGTAAAGATCTAGTACACCCAACTTGTGCAACATGTGATGATGAAGAGTCTTGCCAAGGGCTTTAGAGAATATCAGCAGGCTGCTCACATGAAGAAATATGGGTAGTAGTGATCAAACCATTCTTCATTTGCTCCCGCACAATATGACAGTCAATGCCAATATGTTTAGTCCTCTCATGGAACATAGGATTGGAAGCTATGTGGTTGGCAGCCTGGTTGTCACAGTGAAGAGAAACATGAAGTTGAGCATGGAAACCAAGTTCCTTGAGCAATTGAACTAACCAAATAACATACAGTATAGGCCATAGCTCTATATTCAGCCTCAGAGGAAGAATTGGAAACAGTAGCTTGGCGCTTGGATTTCCAGGAAATCAGAGAAGAGCCAAGAAAAATACAGAAGCCAGTGATGGACTTCCTTGTCATTAAGCAAGAGCCCCAATCAGAGTCACTATAGGCAGATAAGGACAGATTATTATGAGCAGGAAAACATAAACCAAGACTAGGGGCTGACTTCACATATCTGACCACTTTGAGAGCTGCTGTCATATGTGACTGCTTGGGCTAGTGCATAAATTGACTCAATAAACTGACTGAGTAACTGAGGTCTGGCTTGGTCATACATAGATAGAGTAGTTTACCAACTAAACGTTGATAAATTTCTGGATCAGGAAGTAACAGATCAGTCTTAGTGTTGGCAGAAGTAAACTGACGATTAAATGCTGCTGTAGTAAGCTTCAAATTGGACTCCGTGGGAACCAAAGATGGCTTAGAACCTGAAAGACCTGATTCTGAGATCAATTCCAATGCATACTTGTGTTGGCAGATGCTAATTCCCTTGGAGGACCTGGCCACTTCAAAGCCTAGAAAATACCGCAATACAACTAAATCCTTTAGCTTGAAATTGTGGTGTAGTAGCTGTTTAGTTTGGCAGATTAAAGCTGGATCATCACCTGTTATCACAATGTCATCTACATATACAAGAATCAGGACAATGTGAGATTCACTTCTTTTGATAAACAATGAATAATCTGATCGAGAATGCTGGAAACCACCATTTAGAAGAGCTATAGTCAGCTTATGATTCCAGGCTCTAGAAGCCTCTTTCAATCCATATAAGGATTTATGGAGCTTGCATACCAGATTCTTGCCTCTTTACCTTGGAAAACCTTGGGGCAATGTCATGTAAATTTCCTCTTGCAAGTCTCCTTGCAAGAAAGCATTGTCCACATCAAGTTGATAAAGAGGCCAATTGTTCATGGAGGCTAAAGCCAAAACTGTTCTAACAGTAACCATCTTTACAACTAGAGAGAAAGTCTATTCATAATCAATCCCGGCCTGCTGTGTATATCCCTTAGCAACCAAGCATGCCTTGTATCTGTCTAGGGTACCATCAGCCTTATACTTAAGTTTATAAACCCACTTACAACCAATGGGAGCCTTACCAAGGGGCAAAGATACTAAGGACCAGGTTTGATTGCTTTCTAATGCCTGAATTTCTTGCTGCATAGCATGGACTCAATTCTGATCTTTAGAAGCTTGTGCAAATATAGTGGGTTCAACTAAGGAGAGATTGGACAGGAATGCTTTATAGGAAGGGGATACATTAGCATAGGAAACAAAATTGATAATGGGATAGTGTGAAGTATTGGCTGTAGGATTATGAGGTAGTGTAGGACAAACAAAATCTTGTGTCCAAATAGGAGGATTAGTATGTCTACTGGATCTTCTAAGAGCTGGAGGTGAAACAGGAGTAATACTAGGCATAGGAACAGAATTATGAGAAACAGTCGAATCTGTAGTCTGGATAACAGGAGAATCAGCAGTAAAATGAGGAGTTGGAATTGACTCTAAAACAAGGAATTCTGAATTAATAGGAAAAGGATTCAAGGAAAAAGTTGACAAGGCAAAAGGAAAGAGATTTTCATGGAAAATGACATCCCTGGTGACAAAAACAGAATGGGTAGATAAATTGTGTAAAATATAGCCCTTTTGGGTAAGAGAATAACCCAAGAAAACTGAAGGAGCAGCTTTAGAATGCAATTTGTCCTTAGAAGGTAAGATTGTAGCATAGGCCAAACATCCAAAGACCTTTAAATATTCAAGAAAGGTGGTTTGTCAAAAAATTTCTCAAAAGGTGACTGACCCTTAAGGACTGCAGTAGGCGGTCTATTAATGATGTAGACTGCAGTTTGTACACAATACCCCCAGAAATGAGTGGGAATATTGGACTGAAGTTTTAAAGCCCTAGCAACCTCTAAGATGTGCTTGTGCTTTCTCTCAACAATACCATTTTGTTGAGGAGAATAAGCACATGAACTTTGATGAATGATACCCTGACTACTTAGGAGTTCATGACAATCTTTGTTAAAAAACTCTAAACCTTATCAGTCCTAATGCACTTAGGAGTCAAACTATATTGTGTATGGACCATACGAAGAAAGTGTTTAATGGTAGAGTAAGTGTCTGACTTGAATTGCATAAGAAACAACCAAGAAACCCTAGAAAAATCATCTACCATAGTGAGAAAGTATCTAGCATTCCTATGTGTAGGTGTTTTATAAGGACCCCATACATTCATATGTAGTAAATCAAATTTTTTTTGTGTTTGAGATGTACTATTAGGGAAGGGTAACCTGGTCTGTTTAGCTAGAGGACAAGCAGGACAATGCATAGAGTGTAAACTACTTTGAGCACTTGACAAATTGGGATGAACAAGAGGCAAAATAGAATAAGAGGCATGTTCTAATCTTTGATGGCATAATGCATAATCATGAGATGAAGATAATGACAACATGGAAATAGGCATTTTATTCAAATTCATCTCAAAAGGTACAATCTGAGATGATTCTACAGTATGGCAAACAACCTTATTTAACTGTCCTAAATCTGATACAAAAGTGGAAATTTTCAAATTTGGATTAAAGAAATAAAGACCTTGCCCATGCTTACCAATCCCCTTCAATTTGCCATTGCAAAGATCCTGAATGAGACAAAAATCAGGATAAAAGGTAACAAAACAGTTATTAGAAGCAGTAAGTTTGGAGACTGAAAGTAAATTGTGATGGAAATCTGGAACATGCAGGACATTTAGTAGATGTAAGTTTTTATCCAGAACTACAGACCCTACATGTTTAACATACGTTCTTGTTCCATTTGGTAACCCTACAAGGTATTTTGCAGAAGGTTCTATAGCAGTAGGTAATTGCAGAACAGAATAATCAAAAGTCATATAGTCAAATTGTAACGCCCCACTTGAGGTATGTAGTTAAATTATTATTGCATTGCTTGAATGTTTATTGATTTGTTCTCATTTGAGCTTGTATGTTGTTATTTTTGGTTGGTTGGCCCTTAATTGAATTTTGTTAAAGTTATTTTGAGAAAAATGTGAAGAAAATCCCTTAAACTTTCATTAGGGGTAAAATGGTCTTTTCACTCAAAATGGGAGTGAAGAAAGATAGATTTCATGGAGAATGTAATAAAAATGAGGACATTATTGTAATTGACTAAGGGAGATAGATAGAATTTCCAAGAAAGAGCAAGGGCAAAATGGGAAACTAAATATATATATATATATTATGTAATAAGAGTTCAAGAATAGAAACCCTAGCCACTCTATCCCTCCATTCATGCCATTCTCTACTCAAATTCTCTCAAATTTCTTCACTAGATTTCCAAGGAAATTCATAGATTTTGGGTATTTTTGAGTGAATTTTCAATCCTAAGCATCCAAAGGTAAGATTCTTGCATCAAGATATAAGATTAAATTTGAAAGTTTTGAATTCTTATGGTTTTATATGCTTAGGGTTTAAGAGGAAAGGAAATACTATCAAAGAGAGATTATAGTGTTGGAGTTGCTCAAATTCAAGGTAAGTAAATCTAACTAAGTTAAGATTTAAGAAAATCAAGTGAGTAGAGATTTCTTTTAATTATGTATGTGTTATGATTATTGAGAAATTGAGATGAGATTGATGATGAATTATGCTTGTTGTTAGATATATTTGAATTATGAGAAGTGCTTTTGATTGTATGATGATGGGTTGAAGTTTGATTGAAGTTGAAAGAAGTTTGAGTAAACTTTTGGGAGTGTTTTTCCTTGACAAGTTTTGTGATGATACATGGGAGCTTTACTCCCATTTGGATGGTTAAAGAAAGAAGAAGAGTTATAACTAAATTAGAATTTATGTTTGCACATTTATTGTTTGATGAAATGCCTAAGTGAAAACTGTCTTATCACAACCGTGATATTTTGAGTGATTTTTGGGCATCTTAAAGATTGAGCTGGGTTGAGACCAAAACATAAAAGTTGTAGCCCTGTCTTTAAGCTTGAAAACGAGACCAAATTCGTAGCAATCTGATATGTATAACTCAAGTTATGCCTTCTTGAGTGTGACCTGTGCAGAATGACTATCTTGATGCAACATTGCATTTGTGCATTTCATGAGTGCATTAATGAGCATGAATCATCCATATGCATAATTAATGCATTAGAGAAAGAGTAGAAAAAGAGTAGTGAACTTTGAGTGTGAGCTTTTTTAAGAGAAAAGAGAGAAAAAGATAATAGAGTAGGTTGTGCGATGGGGAACTAGTGAGTAATAGGTAAAGTATTCCCGCATGTACGCCGCATTGAGAGAGCGGTATGAGTATGAGAGAGAGAAGTGGTGTAGCCCGTGAGAGTGCATGCAGATGAGGGCTATACTCGAGAGTACCCGAGAGAGAGATTATATACTCACATGGCCAAGGGTTCCGAATTCATGCATAACCGAGTCCGATCGGCTAAGAACGAGTAGAAGTCACGGAAAGCGGGAGCGAGTCCTGGCCGTGCCCCCGATAAGATGGGGTCGTGACTTACTAAAGAGAGTTAGTAGAAAAGAGTTCTAAGAAAGAGAAACAGAGAGAGAGAAACATAAAGAGAAAACAAAGAGAAGTATAAAAGATAGAGTAAATGAGAATTGTAAGGAAAGACTTAGAGGGAGAAAGTTACAGGGATAGATGACTAGAGGGTTTACTTACTGAGCATTATTTGTGCTCACCCCATTGTCTTTCTATATTTTTGCAGGATTTAGCTGAGGATATGGTCGGATGAACGTCAACATGTGAGGAGGAATGGCTACACTGTCTACATAGTTTTTTGATAGTTTTTGTTTATGATACTAATTTTGTATAAAGAATGTATATGTTTAATAAAAGAAAAATTTGGGCCCACCTACTTATGTTATTATACATGTATTTTCTTATGTATATTTTTATGAGTATTTGAGTAAGAAATAGTTATTACACAGATGCTCCAGTATCAATTATCCAACTATTCTTATCAAGGTAAGACATCAAGGCAATAGAATTACCTGCCAAGTTAGCAGTGGGAGGAGAAACATTCTCCTTTCCTAGCAATTGGAGGATGTGATTGTATTGCTCAGTAGTCAGAACAGGACCAAAAACTGAATCTGAGTTTCCAGTGCTAACCATTGATCCTGAATTTCCCATATCCAATGACTCTGAAGTATGCACCTGATTGGCAGTAAATTTTGACTTAGAGTTTGCTTTGCTGTTAGTGAATTGATGGTCAGGTGGATACCCATGCAACTTGTAACAAGTATCTCGTTTGTGTCCAGAAATGTGACAAAATTCGCATTCAATGAAGGGCTTCTTCCCCTTATATTTTTGGCGTTGATTCTGACCTTTGCCATTTTCAGAATGATTGGCATAAAGTGCTGTAGTTACTTCTGAATTCAAACTCATCCTTGCCAAGATTTTCTAACTTTCATCTTGATTGAACACTGAATAAGCTTGCTTGACATTCGGTAAAGGATTCATTAGCAAGATTTGGCTTCGAACCATGGAATATGACTCATTTAATCCCATCAAAAAATGCAGTAATTTCTGTTGATTCAGATGCTCCAAATATGCTTTTGTCGAGGCACTATCAGGTGCAGGAAGACTGATCAGGGAGTCCAACTCATCCCATAATGACTTCAATTTACTATAGTAGCTAGCTACAGAATCAGTTCCTTGAGTTAGGTTAACAATTTCCTGATGCAACCCAAACACTCTAGTGCCACTCACTTTGTTATATTGTTCTTTCAAATCTAGCCAGACCTGTGCAGCACTTGTAGAGTAAACTATACCATTGAATATCTCTTTCGAGACTGAATTAAAAATCCATGCAAGCACCAGTGAATTACATCTCTCCCATTGTAGAACCAAGCTAGAATGTATAGTCGATTTTGTGTATTTACCATTAACAAATCCAAGTTTATTTTTAGCACAGAGAGAGACCGTCATGGCTCGACTCCAGATGCTGTAATTTTAAGCTCCAACAAGCTGTTCAGAAACCAGTATAGAGCCTGGTGTATATGATGGATGGACATACAAAGGAGAGTTGGAGTCGATCGATTGAATGGTAACTTCTTCTGTCGATGTTGCGATATTTGATCAACTAATTATCAAATTGATTGGTCTAGAATCAAATTCAAGTCGAATCCACTAAGAATTTAGATTGAACAAAAAACCTAATTCAAGATTTCAAGCTGAAATTCAAGATCTTGAACTAAAAAATTCGAAGGATGAAGCAAAAAAATCAAGTAGAAATCAAGTGTTCAAGCTGATTTGAACTTATCTGAATAAAAAAAGCTTCACTCTAATTGACTCATTCTCAGGTGAGGGTTGGAGATTCCGTAGCTCTAATATCATATTAATAAACGAGAGAAAAGGAAATGGAGTTGAATTTGGGAAAGTGCGAATCTGCTCTTTACTGAATGTTACTGTTCGTTTATATATAGCAGTAACTTTAGTCAACTGAAGTTACTTATTGACTGAAGAATAAAATAAATTACATGAATAACCTTTACATCTAATATACATATATATATTTAAGCAAATGAATAGTAAATGATGAGCAATATTACGTATAAATACAAACTCGACTTTCTTTTTTTCTTTTGATGACCGGGGATGTTCGGATTAGCTTACGCGTATCTTAATTAATCTTTCAGGATCTTGAAACTATAGGCTGTATAAGAGCTTCAATGACTACCTTTATTAGACAAACTCGACTTATAGCTTAATTTATGCAAACCAAGATGATTAACACATCATCCAATTTAATTTGTTTTTAATTTATTTTTTTTAGCCATATTAAAACACATAGTTTAGATACATTAAAGTTTGTACATAAAGCTAAAAAGTTAAATTATTTATGAAAGTTGACGTACTGTAATATATTAAGAGGACTTAAAATGTAATATATATTAAGTTAGAAAGTTTAATTATTTATGGAAATAAGATATTGGTTATTGAGTATTTGAGGGACGTTAGATGGGTGGAAAACTCTGGATTGATTATACCAAATATAAAACAAAAAACAAAAAAAACGAATTTTAATTAAATCCTCTTTACGGTGGGGAGATCTTCAGTGATCCAACTTCAGTTGTCTAAACATAAGCCAATACTGAAGAAGTAAAGGGTTTTTGTTTTGAGTTTTCTGCGCAAGCCAATTATGGCTACCACTATCAAGTTTCTTTGCGAAATAGTTGCCTGCATGTTGGTGGCTGTACCAAAGACTCATGCAACTTTTCGAGTTATTCATGATTTGAAATGTAACCTCGTCCCATGCGTTAAATACATAAACAAGTTGAGAACAGAGCCGCCTGCTGCAAAGAAACGAAGGCAATTTACAAGGCCGCCGATACCAGAGAGAAACGGCAAGCGGTTTGCAGGTGCTTGCAGTCTGTGGCTAAAGAAACCTTCCATATCGACCGAATGGAAAGTATATATTTTTCATTCAGAGTTTTTATTTTTATTTATTTATTTGAAGACAAAAAAGATGACTATGAAGGAATGAAATAGATGATGGGGTTATCAAAGAGATTCAAAAATAGAAACAAATAGATTTTGTCTTGTTTGTGCTGGTCAAACTAGTTTAGAAGCTTTAAAATTGAATTGATTTATTTGTTTATAATTTTTTGTCTAAAGAAATAGGTTGAGACATATATATATATATATATATATATATATATATTTGTTATAAGCACTTTGCTTATAAATTACTTTGATCAAGTATATTACTATATTATCTTTTTTTAATTTTAAAATTTCATCTCATAACCTTATTTTTAATAATATAATACATTTTTTAGTCATTTTAATAATTAAATATACTTATGAGTCACATTTTATTAAACACGTCATTTATTTATCAATAATTTATAAGTACTTTAATTAAATACATAATTGCTTAAATTTTAAATTCTTAGAGCATCTCCAAATGATTCTTTATATAACTTAAATTATTTATTATAAAGAGTTTATTCATAAAAATAAAAGTCTAACAGACTATTTATTCTTTAAATATAAATTAAAGAGTGAGTTTGACTCTCCACATCTAAAGATTGAAATTTTATTCTCTATCATAATTTTAAATAATAAATTACAAGTTTTTATGTATTTTATTTATTATTTATCTTTCATATTAAGTTTTTTTTATTGAAAAAACATATCCTCTTTCCTAAAATTTATAGAGTCTATTGGATTTGAATAAAAATCTTGTTCTTTATATTTAAAAATGAATGAAGATGCTCTTTATTTATATAAAAGATGTTTTTTATTTTAAAGAACACCATTGAAGATGCTCTTATAATCACTAACTACTTATAAGTTAATTTTTATTAGCTCCGGCCAAACAACCTCTAATTATTTAATAAAATAGAAACAAATAAAAGCTTAGAATAGCCCAAGTGCCCAACCCCATCCTGTTTGGGGCATCACAATGGAGACGGGAATCTAAACCTGAATGAGCTCCCTCCCATTAGGCCAAACATTCGAGAGTCAACTTATTAGTTCTTGCATTATTTAAACTGATAAAAATTAAAATGTTATTTTAAGTAATATGATATTTAATATCAAAGGGGCTTATATGTCAAAATAATAATTTAAAGATACACTTTTACGTGAAAAAACAAACAACTTAACATTGATAATACACTGTAAAAGGTAATATATATATATATATATAGAGTACAAATATTGGGGGAATTTTTTAAGATGAAAGCATTTAGGTATGTAAAAAACAAGAGTCGAACAATTGGGCTTGCCGAATCGGGTTGCGTGGCCCAACTCCGAGCCCACAAACTTTAACTCATCGACCCGCAAAACCTAATGCCTAAATGCCATAAGAAAATTAAGAATAATTCCTGGCCACATTTTGAGAGTTCTAGAAAACCTTGTTAGCCACATTTTTTTTTCATCTAATTAATCAATGTTGTTTTAATAATTTTTATTATTTATTGGACTTCTAAAAAAATATTTCCGTAAATTTTATACCGTCATTTTAGATACCATAAAATCAACCCTGTCTATGGGGATTTTATAATTATTTCTCATAATATTTGATAATATTCTAGAATATCTCCCAGTGAATTCAAGAGAGCCAGCTACCAACGAACCACCGCCTTCTTTCTTTTCACTTTCTCTCTCTTTACAAGCTTCTATAAAAGCGCCAGGTCTCCTTATTCTACACTCACTCAAGCGCATTCGCATTCTTACTGATTTCTCTCCATTACTTATAGTAAAGTTATCTTTTTTTTTATTTGTCTCATCAATCATAATGGCCAGTAGCCTGAAGCTTGTTTGTGTCTTGGTTTTGTGCATGGTGATGACTGCACCAATGGCTCTTGCCGTCGACTGTAATCAGGTGACCAGTGAACTGGCACCATGCTACGGTTACCTGATGACTAATGGTGAGGGTCCTGCCCCGGCAGACTGTTGCAGTGGACTTCAAGCTGTAAACAACGCCGCCCAGACCACAGCCGACCGCCAACAGATCTGCCAATGCTTTAAAAATGCCGCCCAATCGGCTTCCGGTATCAACACTAATACCGCTGCTCAGCTCCCTAGCAAGTGTGGCATCACTATTCCTTACCAGATGAGCGCTTCTACTAACTGCTCCAGGTTTTCAACTTTTGTTATTGATCTCTGAACTACTCTTTTTTTCCCTTTTAGTAATTTTAATTTCTTAAGCTTTTGATTAATTTCTTTCTTTGTTTGTGTTGCATGCAGCATCCAGTGAAGTGCATCATCTACTGGCGATTTGCTGGTGTAGAGTAAAATATGCTAGTATGAGAAGAATAATAAATTTTATTACTATCCGAATATATATATATATCTCCCCTGTGTGAGATCTGTCTGATGTCGCAGTTTTAGTGTGTATCTTTTGATTTTGTGTCGTTACGACATCTATTTAAATAAGTTATGTTCTGTGTTTTATCTCTGCTCTTTTCCTTTCAATGAACAAGAACAAGCCATAATATTAACTAATATGCATGAGATCATAAACGACTATATGCCGTGTAATTTAATTACATGAAACAAAATTCATGTCCTGGTCGAAACGAAAGAAAGACAGAACATATGATTTATCTTGGTTCGTTTCAACTAAAGAACTACGTCTAATATTCAAATAGAGAATTTTATTGAGTATTAATATTCAGCAGCAATTACAACGGCAACTCACTCTCACTCTCTTTCTTTCACACCTTAAGTTTTTCACTATTACAGAAAATATATAATAGAAATTTAATCTCATTTGGGCATACTCAAAGCTAACCCGATCTAGGCTAAAATATTAGTAAACTAATTTTAAACAGATAGGCAAACAATCTGTCAAAGGATAAGAGAAATATACACCATATCCAACACTCTTAGTCGTTACCCATCAATCATAATTTTATATTTGTTAACATATTACAAGCTAATCGGCTATGGTTAGAGAATTAATATAAATATTGTTGCCTCCCTCAATATGGAGTTTAAAGGTTTATTGTATGGTGGTGAATAATGTTTAACGCATTTTTGGGGGTGATGGGTTGTATAGCCTCGTAGGTTACCACCATTTGGTATATATATGCCCTGCATTGTGAAGAGTTGGGGTTTTTTGTTTTTTTGAATACTATTGAACCGAACCCAGGGCATGTCCTGAAATAAGTGGGTTTCTTTTTATTCTTTAATCTCTACTTGGAGTTGTCTTGATAGTATCATTCTTTTGCTCTTGGCTTGTCCTAAGATAAGTTGACCCATTTTTAGGCCTCTTATACATTCTTTCTCCCTTTCTATTATGAGTTTACTTAAAAAAAAAAAAAATGTTTAACGCATTTTCTCGGGGAAAAAAAGGCTCTTAATTTTTATCAAGGCAGGCAGCATTAACAAACTTCTCACTTCGTGTAGCTGCTGCATGCCTTCAGATGATGGCACCACGCCTTCTATGATCTAGAAGGGAGGTAAAATTAAGTTATGGGGGTCCAATTTTTGTGGTTTATTGAATGAAAAACAATAAAAATTATTTAGTAATAAAATATGTGAAAGTTGCTCATAACGGAGAGCGATAGGGTATATGTTTTTTCATTTTTCTTAATGTTAATGTCATTCATGTTTTTTGTTGAATTTGTTTATAATATATTGTTTCTTTTAAGTTAAATATTAAATGGACTTCGAGCGCATATGTTAAATGTAAAAATCATAAAATTTTACTTTATTTTACTCTACGTGGATGTGATATGATTATTGGAACTAATTAATGATCTTACTTGTTGGTGCAAATGCAATTTTTTTGCATCAACAGGAAGTACAAAAATTTTGCGATGAAATCTATGCAAGTGTTGGTAGTAAATCGGTGTTTTAATGCTAGTTTAATGTTAAGATGATAAATAAACACATAGATCAGATAAGTGGTTTAGATGTAAGGTGCAAATCTTAGATCCATTGTTATTTTATTGTTTTTTCTTATGTGTTTTTCAAGTATAAGGAAACTCAATTCTAAGTATAAAGGAGGCAATTTTCACAGCAGGAAAATGTGTTATAAAAGATCTTTTCATCAAGTTGAGAGACCTGTTTATATACCGTTGCCTTGGAGGACTTGTATATAAAGTAATCTTCATATAGGGTGACACGCGACATGACTGTCAGCACAAATTGATGCTAACTAATGAAGTAACCCTTGATAGACTTATAAGTGAAGTTGTCCTCTCACAGAGTGACACATGTGGGCATGTAGCCACATACAAACATGTGGGTTCAATTGAACCCACTCAACTTTTAAAAAAAATAAAAATAAAAATCTTTATATTTTATAGAATTTACAAAATCACCACTTCACTTAGTTGTGGTGGCGGAGCTAAGCCACCTGATGCCCGTTATCCGACCACAAGCCAAGTTGTTATTTATGTGCTATATTGACCTATCATTTACAAAATCACCACTTCACTTATTTGTGGTGGCAGAGCTAAGCCACCTGATGTCCCACAAATTTTTTCAATTTTTATATAAAAATTTAATGATTTAGTCCCTATAAATTCAGTTTTTCATTTGGCCACCCCAGGTTTTGAAGTTAACACTTTGGACCCTATAAATGTAACTTCCCACTATTTTGTGGCCCCTCTATTCATTGAAGATGACATTGTGGCCCCCCAGTAAATTTTATGGCTGTGCCCCTGCTTACATGTAACACCACATAGATTACACATTACCTGGACAGAAAATTTTCGGAAGGAATAGAACTATTCAAAAAAGAATCATAAATTAGAAGAGTTATATGTTTATTGCAGATTGTTTTTTTTTTTTTTTTGGTTTTATGATTCACAAATTGAAGATAACAAATAGTTTGAGTACTGTTAATAAAAAAGATTAGAAAACAGGAAGAAGAAGAATAGAAGAAGGTTTGCGGTGGCGTAAATTGGGGGAGGATGCCAATTATGGAGAAGACAGAAGACAGTTGTAATAGAGGTTGCGGTAATAAGCTTAAAATAAAGGCAAAAAATATGAAATACGAGTTAATTAATGAAAGATGTATTGAGTCATAAAACAATCTTTGATGAGTGGAATGGGTTGAGAGTGTCGAAACCACGACTAAAACGTGCAGATAATAATAAACTTAGAAAAGTAAAGAAGATACACGATTTACTCTGATTTGTTCCAATAAAGGAATTACGTACAACATTCGAATAAAATACTTTTATTGAATATCAGAAAATTGTAATAAATACAATGTAAATCACGACAGTTTACTTTTACTCTGTGTTTTTCTTTACTTTGGGTTTCTCACTATTACAAAATGCATATAATATGAAAATCTATCCTCATTTGGACTTGTCATATCTAATAGAGAGAAGGTTGGGACATGGCAGCTTTCTTTGAATTTTGAGGAAATTAAGTAGCTTTTTTCTTTGGCAAAAATAACAGTTCTGCTGAGTACTCTCACCCCCCTTTAATAAGCATCTGCATCTCTATATATTGTTATTTTTAATTATAAATTTTCCCTTATAATAGATTTATTAATGAAAAAAATAGGGTTAATTAATATAACTCATATTAAAGTTTAGGAATTTATGTAAACATCCAGTTTGGGCACGAGAGAATTTGCTGAGTTTTGTATTAACCTCAACAACCAACAAACCCTACATTCTCCTGATCTCTTATCTTCACTTTCTTTACAGCTTTCTATATAAACCTCAAGCCTGTCAATTCTGCATTCATTACTCAAACCATTCGGTAAAGAGTCTGTTTTGATTATTCTGGAGAATCCTAATGGCTAGCCTAAAGTTTAATGTCTGTGCCTTGGTTGTATGCATGCTGGTCATAACTGCAACAACGGTTCATGGCTTCGGCTGTCGCCGGGTGATCGATAAACTGGCTCCATGCCTTTGGTAACTGGAGAGAGGTGGTAATGGTTCTGTACCAGTGGCGGTGAGTTGCTGCGCCGGAGTCAAGGCCCTAAACTACACTGCCCAGACCACCGCGGCACAAATATTGACTTGCCAATGCTTTCAGACTGTCACCAACTCAATCAATGGTATCAACTCTGGTGCTCTACTGAAGCTGGCCTTTCTACCAAATGTGGACTCAATGCCACCCCTCTTATGCCCTTTCCTTTCTCCTCATTTTCTTCATCTCGCACCTTACACTGCCGCCACCACCCCACAATTGCCATCTCTCCAGTTCCACTTTTCTAAATCTTATTAAAGAACCAAATCTAAACCACAAAATCAACCATAAATGAGAATACAACAAGCAATAAAGCAACCACATTTTTATTTCTTTTGTCCAAATTCAGAATTTTTTTTTTTTTTAATTTCTTCTCCAAGTTCTTAATGGCAGCGGTTGGAGTCACGTTTCGAAACCCAGCCGGTGACATTGAACGTTGCTAGGCAGCTACCCGAACTGATTTGATGCAACCTAATCCCACAAAAACACAGAATCGCATCACAACTCTTCCATCACAATTCACAGCCGTGGTTGGGGTTGGTCACTGGGCGCTGCAGGTGGGGTTCGATTGCGTGCGAGGGGTGGCTATGGGCGTGGAGTTTGGTTGTGCACGACGGGGTGGTGATGGGGAGCAAGATTGGCTGGGCACAACCCGTAGCCAAGATTTCTAGTTAGTGGGGTCAAAAGATATTTACAATAAAATATACACCGAAGTAATAAATATAAATAAAAAATATTTTTAAAAGTTATATGTACCAAATTATCAATTTTATAATTATCTTATATTCAATTAACCAATATATCAGAATTCGCATCACAACTCTTTCATGATGATAACATGGGTAGGGTTGGTCACTGGGCACTATAGGTGGGGTTCGGTTGCGTGCGAGGGGTGGCGATGAGCGTGGAGTTTGGTTGTGCACGACGGGGTGATGTTGGAGGAGGAGGACGAGGGAGTGTGGGAGGGTTATTAATGGATTTCAAATAGATGATTGTAATAGTTACTACCATAGTGTGATTATGAAATATCAAGGGTGGTAACTGATTGTCTCTCAATTTTGTAAGCATGGACCATAAATTTGGCCTGGGCATTTATCTCTAGGCATAAAAATTAATTACTTATTAACATTTGTTTACCAGCTTGTTCTCTTTAATAATTCAATTTCCATTAACGGACTTGTAAAGCTCCAAGGAATTAACGTCTAAGGAATCCTCAAATTTTAATTTGTTCATCGACCCTCATTAATATAGTGCACATGAGCTGCTCTGGATGCTTTTTCTTCTTTTAATGGTTTCAAATCAAAGACAAATTTAAAGATAATATCAATAATATCTGCTTATGGCTCCAATCAAATATATTTCCGTATGAATATGCTGATCATTCGTCTTAGAGTATCTCTAATGCCAATTATGCTCTATATTTTAAAAAGTATCTTCCATATAATTAAAGAGTCCTTTTATTAATGTTTAAATATAAATAATAAAATTTTTATTTAAATCTAATTAATTTT